CTCTGGACCGAGAGCTGTGCTGAAAGGAAATCCTCCTCCTTCCTGTTCCATTATCAGCGCGACATAACAAGCCAGCGAACTACCACTGCAGAACCAAATCAGAACGTATGAGTGACGAGCTTCTGGAACCCTCTTTAAGGCCTTTCAACGACGAAAATGGCCCCCGTAAATTACTGAAGGGTGGTGAGAACCAAACAAAACCCATCACAGGGGAAAATATCTTTGAAATACAACGGCGACAAGAGTTGTGGGGGAAAAAGAAAAGATCCTGGAGCAAAAGCAGAAAGGAGCTTTCCTCTTGTTATTGAGTGAAACCGAGAAGGCTTGTCTAAAGTAATCTACGGCTGTGAGAAAGGGGGAGATTGGGTCCGTCGAGGGTCTTACTCAGCTCCACCCCCCCTCCTCCCCCTCAGCAGTCCAACAGTCCGCTCAGAATAACCCTTCTAATAAGTCACTTGGAAGAAAATGCGGGGAGTCAGCTGATTTGTAATCCGCTCTCTTTCTCGCTCTGTGCTCACACGCATCAAGAGTCAGATTGATAAGTGCAATCACATGAAAGCGCTGGTGGGGTATCAGGGTCTGGTGAACCTGCAGGTGTTTGGGTTTTTTCACATGTGTGTGTTTTGGCTAAACGAGAGCCGGCCTGTACGTCCCTCATGCCCAATGTGTCTCAAGTGTAAACAGTAAGTTCCCTTACTGGGAAATGGATGCATTCTTCTCCGCCGACATTGATGCAATTTACATATTAAGTCCGCGCTGATGTTGTATTCATTAGATTTAGAGAGGATTAAGAGATATAACTCAATTACAAAAAGGGGCTCTTGTTCCCTGCCAGCGTGTTGTGTAATGTTTGAACGCATCCTGTGATTGAGAAATGGAGCATCTATCGGATAATTCATCCTTTAATATGTATTTGGAAACTAATTTAATCACATGCTCACTTTGAAAAGAACATTCAGTGATGGTTGAGTCTATTCTCTCATGCGGATCCGACTCTTCGTTCGTGCCGTCGCCTCGTAGGGGTGAACAAAGAGTCAGGGGGGGGGTTTGGGATGATTGACAGGTCTGTGAAATATTACGGACAGGCCCTGTGTCTTAGTCCTAATCATGCTTATTATTATACAAAGGGTCTTTCTTGGTTGCCACGACCATCGAGTCACTTCTTGCTCCGAGATATTCACACGGTTTATGGTTTATGATAATTTGTGATGATGGGATCACATAAATATATATGGCCTGTAATAGTTTCTGTGGAGAAAAAAGGCATCAAGTCATTTGTTGGCGAAGTGAGCGATAGGAGAGCCCATTTACACAGACACATTTGGCAGCATAATGACATCTGTGATTGTTGTTTCCTCTTTACATTTCTTTTTTCTTACTGTGCTGCGTTCCTCTTCTTCGACTCTGTCTGTCAGTCTGCGAGTCGTTCGTCTTTCTTTAAACTTTCCCTTCCTCTTTCAAGTATCAATCCCAATAGAGCTCATGCCCTATTTAAAACCACAATAATGGGGGCTAATATAAGTCATTCGGAGACGTCAAAGAGATCTTAACAAAGAAATGTCACCTTCTTTGTGCGTCTCTGTTCGGCTTTAAAAGGAGGGAGGGATGAAAAAGTCCTCAAGGTGAAGAAAAGTAATCTGAAGGCGTCTCTTGCGGTGCAGATTGCCGGAGAGCAGGAGGGTGAAGTGAACGTCTGCTGCACTGATTCACAAACCAACATCCACTGCAGCACAAACATGATGTGTTCACCGTTTATCGTACGCTAAAAGCTTTATTATGGGTCTCATAAATCTACACTACGTTTGAGTGGGAAACGTTGTACCTTTTACTCCACTTAATTTACAAAAACACACAAGATTTATACAATATAAATTTGTTTGATTTAATACCTTCCGGTTAAATGTTCCCGTAATAATATTCCAATAAATATAGCGAGTATATATATTGCATTGCTGCTTTTACTTCAAGCTACCACCAGGAACTGATGTTGATCTTACCAACGCGATAATGTTTCCTTAAGCATCAGAGTCCCTTTCAGAAAAACCATGGATCTTACATGGGGGGCTCGGACAGTCCTCCTCTCTCGGTCCCGGTTCTGGTTCTCTTGCTTTAAGCGGAGTACATCCTCCAGCCCTGCGTAGCAGACAGTGGCATATTACATTTTATTTCATTTCAGCAGAGGAGCTTGTATAAATTAAAGCACAGGCTAAACATAGCAACAACACTTCATCCTCGTGGGTTTCGAGGTTTGAACCCTTAAACCCTTGAACGCTAGAATCTTGTGAACTGTTATAATATCACAGTTTGCACTCAGCAGCCTGAATGCAGTGAAGCAAATGCACATTATGCAAACTGTGTGCAACATGGTTGGTACGATAAGCGCTGTGGGCTCAGAGATCCGACACAACACGTCAATAAAATCACTTAATATTCCTTATCCTGCTATTGTTTGTTTCCTCTGAAGTTTCCTCCGAAACTCCGACAGTATTGATACCAAAGTCAACATAGAACCTTTTTCAATGAAAAAGAAACCTGCACTTGGAGAAATCTCGACTTTGTTTTGGCCGAAACAAACTACGTCGCTGATCATTTCAGCACCGTCCTCTGAACAAATATAACCTTCAGATAGTGAACGCTCACCGCCTCCGCCGTTGGCACCAGCAAACATGAGCGGCGGTAAAAGTGATCAATCACAGCTGCAACAGACCCAGCAGACACAACAAACGCGCTCTCATCAGATGCAGGCGTCTGCACACGTCTCTGCGCCACCGCCTTGACTTGAAGCGTTTACCCAGGCTTCGTTTTGGGCGTGAAACACCGACGCGAAGGTACGGCGGGGGCCTGATAGGAACGGATCTCACGACACCCATGAGAAGGTCGTGGAACATTTGGCCATAACTTGCCGCCAACCCCCCCCCAAAGAAATACTACGCAGTTCAGCACAGAAGGCCAGGCTGTAGCCGTGGACGGACACAGAGATGCACAAACAACCAGTCCCATTATCTCCTGGCGCAGGTAGTGATAGTAATAATGATATTTATCGTAACAGACCCCATGAGGCACAGGCGCAGAATCAGGGGAGATCTCCTCTCCCCTGTGATACTACAGGATACTAATTGTAGGCGGAAGTCGCTTTGTGTTCGTCGTGTTCGTTCATCGCCCCACAGACACACTTCCGCACAAGAGATAGATGCTTATCAATGTCTGCGTTTCTATCGGAAGAAAGGCCATGAGGTGGGATTTCACGATAACGTCAGGCCATGTACGGCTTTCAAAGTTAAAAAGGTAATGTGTTGCTTTGGTTAATTCTCTTTGTTGTATTCGGTCCTGGTTCATTTCATCTAGTTTTTTTTTTTTTGGAAGATCAAAGTCCTTTCAGATATTCTTGCGATGAAGGGCTCCATAAAACTGACTTTTAAATCAGGTTCAATTGATCTCATTAAAACGTCCTCCGAGCAATGCCGGCGCTTAAGAGACATCAGTCGGCTTTTATACTGTCAAATGTGACAAGCAGCGATTATCTCTGAACGAGTGAAACTTTTGTCCAAGGTTATATGCCGCAAATTACAAATGGATCTATTACTTTACATTACAAATAACTAACGTTGACTAAAGTGACATATGTGCACGACCGGGAAATGAAGCCACGAAGGTCCCGTCTCAAGATGGATGCAAGGATATCAAACTATCCCATTGTTTAAGTAGTGTTGAATGTTGTCATAAATAAGATGAAGCCGCGTGCCTTCATGTCGTCACACCTCAGCGGGAAGCGAAGGTTGGAATATTAAAGCCTGCAGTGAATTATGAGCAAAGGGTTCCAGGTGCAAGGTGTCTCCAGTGTCCTCCAACCAGTTTTTCCTGACAACAACAACAACAACAACAACAACAACAAAGGGAGAGGAGGGTGGAGGCGGAGTCATGCTGGTACGCACGAGCGTGGCCTCAACCTGTGGACCCGTCTGCGAGGAGGACACAGGCGGCCGGGGAGGGGTTTCCACCGGCAGGACTACAACGCGCAGCGGGGGAGCTGCAGAATAAACTCAACCAGAGGAAGAGGAAGAGGAGGAGGAGGAGGAGTGTTTCCTCTTTGGTCTGCGCCCCAGATGCTCTACTTTCCGAGAAAGAAAAAGGGGCGAGATATGTGCCTGTGAGGGTCGGTGGAGGAGAGGGGGGGGGGGGAGAGAGAGTAGGTGCACCCTTAATGGCATTTTGGAAGTCTCCACGGCGCAGAAGAGGGGGACGCCAAGGCGCGAGGGAGCTAACGTTAGCTCGCTAACAAGGTCAGTTTGCATTTTTTCGCCTCTTAACTGTTGTGTCGCGGTTTTAGCGTTTGCGCTCGTTAAGAAAAAAGAGGAGGGGGAAAAAATGCCGCCCTCGTCCACTTCACCGAGTCCGCCCGTTAACGGGCTCCGCACCGGCACCGGTCCGCTGATACCGGACAGGTAACCGGCTATTTGACGCCTTGCTGTTTTGCTCCCATTCGCCCATCGGCTCGCTCTCTCGGCGTTAGCTCGTAGCGTTAGCCGCGCTCGGTGGCTAGCTGGCTGCAGCCCGTCTGTTCGCCCCTTCGACCCGGTTTATTTAATGGTTCACATTCGTCACGTTAAGCGGATGTTCGCTGCCAATACGTGAGCCGGTGTCGGTGTAGCGGCGCTCGCAAAGCCGAGCTAACGTCAGCGGCAGCGTTAAGCTAACCGGTGTCGGTGCGGCGGATGCAGCACCTCGCGGCTTAGAATAAAACAGGTGCATCGTTAGCATTTAACGCGGCTAGTTAGCGGGTCCGCAGCTTCTTCCGCGGTCGGCTCGTTTTCCGGGGGTTCGTGTTCCCGGGGAGGGCGACGGCTGCCAGGTGAGCGCTGTGGAGGTATTTATCTGGGTTAAACGGTGCAGGTGGTGATATTATTTAACAAAAGGCCTCGTCTACATACCCGAAATGAAACGGGGCAGGGGGGGGGGGAGGGGAGGGAAACGGGCCCGGTAGCTAACCTAGCTAGCTGGCTAATGTTGCAGTTGATTAGATGTTAGACTTGGAAACAAACGTAACGTTGACTTAACGTTACACCGTGAAATATTTCGTTCCGACACCAATGTCTGTGTTTAGTCAGATTATACCACCAAAGATCTGTAATCATCCACAACCGCGTCTCTTTACCTCTTGGCAAGAGGCTGGTTAACGTTAACTTGACGTTAGCGTGAATTTCCCTCCGCGTTTTAACGTTAGTTTCAGCTACTTTTGATTTTTTTTTTGATTTTTTTTTTTTTAAACCTTCTTTAATGTTGTAAATATTCAGTGCGGGTGTAAATATCACGATCGGCAGCAATTAGCAAAGCGTTTAACGCGTAATCCCGATCATTTGCATCACAACGGCTGGTTTTCAGATACAAGCGCCACTTGTTGGGAAGCTGTGATTGTTTCTCGCTTCATCGGACTCCGTAGAAACACACTGCGGACGCTTTGTTGACTTCGTCCCCCCCAACCCCCCCTAACCAACCAGGCATGTACCGCTAAACAAGCAGCTCTCAGGTCATCGTGCCAGGTGAGACTTTCACTGAGCCAGAATTTGTATTTACTTGCCACATATTTCATTTCTCTGGTTGAACTGTGTGTGTGTGTGTGTGTGTGTGTGTGTGTGTGTGTGTGTGTGTGTGTGTGTTCTTAGCACAAGGGAAACATCCAATGGCAAAGCAAGCTTGTCTTGTGGATATTTGTTATTCAGCTCATGCACTATCTGGAGGCTGCTGGATGTGGTACGTCAGTTCAATTGGCCCTGAGTGCCACTGTGCATCCGAGTCCTAATTATTTTTTGACGTTTTTTGAGGTTTTAACTACTGTTGAACTGCAGATAACACGGAGGCCGTGGTGGCAAACGCTGCTGGTTGCATTAAAAGCTCTCCTGGTAGAAACATCGAGGTCTTAATGAAGCGTGTAGTGGAAAATTAAGTTGTATTATACTCGGCTACAAAAATAAACTAACGCTTATGTACTTTGAAAAGCCCAAAGGTTATACATATCTTAAATGCTTGACAGTGTGCCAAGTTGCTTAACCCCCATGTTGTTGGAAACTGACACACAAAGGAGGCACAATTTTCCCACTAATTAGTAATGTGATCACCGCAGTGTCCCTTTTTCTAACGTTTGTTCTCTCACTGTGATGGTGATGAAGCGCACAGTATACTTTCTATTTTAACGTTGTGGCGGTGAACCTTTCCGCACTGATTAAGGATATTTGCTGATACTGATATGATTCAAATCTTCGAGTTTGCTTTGCACAACCTTTGCGTTGCAGGTTTGCATTCTAAGTCCTTGTAAATAAAATGGGTTTCACTTACAAACAGATGTAGAATGGCAAAATTCTAATGTTTAAAAACACTACTGGGTTGAACAGCATTTATCATCTACAAGAACATTTTGTTACATAAGCATATGTGCAACTCCAAGTATATATTTACACCATCAAAACCCGAATGAAATGAGGTCTAAAGAAGGCGCGTGGCTGCTTCCCGAACCCGCTTTGTTAAAGCATGATATTTGGTGGGACCGATGTCTTCGTACACACATTTCTTTTCGATGATAAAAGTCAAGGCAAGAGGTGTGTTGGCGTTGGGGCGTTGAATGATGAAGTGGTGAGGTTGCCATGGCTACCGTGCAGCGTTAGAACTCAGATGGAATAGCAGCACATATTGGGTAAACAAGATAGTTAATAACTACTGAGTGTAGCTCTAGTGTGGAATGATTCATTGAGATCACCGAGGGTTAAAAAGCCAAAAGAGTCACTGACCTACAGAACAAATGTCAGACCGTGGCACTTAATGTACACATTAGTGAGCGTTTGAGTACATCTGAATCTTTACTGAACGTCCGTCGCTGGGATAAAACCGACCGCTGCTCCGTCACGTTTAAGAAGACCAACAATGGTAATGTGTTTGTGGTTCTGTGTAAAAGACAATAGTGTGGCTAACCCTCTGTAACCATATCCACCATTATTATTATATATTTGTATTGATCCATATGTGGATCGTGAGCTCCCGTCAATATTGGATAAGTGAACTCGATACTGACCCTTGATTGTATAGTTCCCATCTCTATTTTTAAAGTCAAGCCTCTATCAACGACGGGCCACACGGCTTCATCTCGGTAACGTTTTGATTCTTGGCTATTTTTCCTCAAGTAATGCATCCTCATTAAATGTTTTAATATGCACACTAATATTCATGTTCTGTTTCTGTGCAGACAGCGCTTTAAATCAATGTATTCAAACGTTGCATATTTCTAAATGGGATTTTGTTGGAATTGTGTTCATAATTAATATCACACTATAAAGTGCAAGGTGACAGAATCTAGGCCACATTATGGGAAAGCTTACTTTGATGTGTGTGTGTGTGTGTCTCAGCAGCCAGAGGTGATGTTTGTTGTTCTGAATTATATTAAGCTTATGGTTAAAACCTATTTTCATGTTTTTGTCGTGCATATAAACATAACTTAGTAAATGAATCACGCGATACGCTGTGCCTTTAGACAGCTCCCATAGTGGAGGCTTTTTTTGAAGACTCCACCTTTTGTGTGGAGGAGAGCCGGTGTCTTGTTCTCGAGAAAATAAAGATCTCCAGATAAGCAGCATGTCTCAGCCTGGTTAAGGCGAGACGGGACCGAAGTCCGTCTCTTTCCGAGTAGGTAAAATGTTACGTTGGCAAAAAAAACCTGTTCTATTTGTATGTTAATTATTTTGCCCATCCATCTTTTCGGACCACATGCAGCAAGGTGGATGGTACCGCTGGACCCCTGTGGGTGTGGATGTGATTGTGTGTTCCTGTTTTCTCAGCTGGCCGTCTAGTCGTAACCATGCACTTTTGTGCCCGAAGTACCTCCCCATATACCTGCAGTAGATGTGAATCATTGAGGCCGAGTCACACACCTCTGACTGTAGAAGTCCATGGTGATAGGAGATCTTTTGACTCAATCTGTTCTTCCTCCAAACATGTAGCAGCCTTCTAGTATGACTGTTATTGTCCAGGGATGAATCATGCTTTTTTCCGATGCAAAGGCCGTGGTGGGTTGGAACGTCTCCGTCGCACCGGCTCTTAATATACTCTTGAAACTACACAATCCGATCAGAATGAGCAGGGCAGTTGTTGTAGAAGGAGCAAAGGAACCTTTGCTTTACATCTGGTAAAAACTAGACTGCATATTGATGTGTGTCCTTCTGTTGCATATTTAGCATTGGTGAAATAAGAACAAAAAGACCCAACATTGAATATGTTTAGGCCTAATTCCAATTCTAAATTCACCCAATGACAGAAGGCAATGTAGTCTTCTGAGCCCAAAGTCTTAAAAACAAATGTATTGTCCAATGCAACACTTATATAAAAATACTAAATTAGAAGTGTGAGCAGACTGCAGGTTTCCTGAACATTACGGCCCATTTGCAGAAAGCCTGATCGGTCCTGCGGCGACGTGTTTGCATCCAATATCCTTCCGCCCCATTCAGCAGGCAAAATGCAGTCGCTCAACTGGTTAATAAGCCGCTGCCTTAGAATACTTGAATGGGGAACGAACCTCATTAAATGGGTAAAAAAAAAAGAAAAAAGAGCGCTTCAGGAAATTAATGAGAATATTATGGATTTTGAACAGTTAAAAACTAGCTGTTTGAATGTCAGACAGCAGGGCAGCAGCTATTCAAGTTAAATAGAAATGTGTTTGGTCGATTGTCTTAGTCGAGGGGGGTGAGCTATGAACGAGAAGCAAACCATTCTTGTGAAAACTAATCTGTATTGTATGATTTATACTGTATTATAACAGTAATGTTCAGTAAATGCTGAAGCTCTTCCCACGGTTGGCAGTGTGCTGCTGCCCATGTTACGCTAAACATTTGCTGATTAGAACATTTGTTTTGGTTCTCATTGCAGTGCACATTTCCATGAGGTTTCTTCTATGAATCCATTGTGTGAGGGGGGGGGGGGGGTCCAGATGGAATGAAACATTCTTAAAAAGATGGGTGTTTGTATAAATTGACCATTGTGGCCGGTTGTGAATGGAAATGTTGAGACTTTGGGTGCGAGGTGTTCAGAAGACGCATATTTTGTACCAGCTGACGTCACAGCTTTGTGCCGGTCGGACGTTTAGGATTCCAGGCAATTGGATGACCCCCCCCCCCCTGCCCGTTTCTGAGTGCTACAGGATTGAGGTTGGCTGGGTCAGCACAATGGAGAATCTAATTCCAACCCCCGGGGTGCCTAATTAAAACTTACAACCAAGACAAACAACCTTTTGACACTCGTGCATCTCGTGAGAATCTCTACTGCTTAAAATGCCACAACAGAGGAGGAGGACCGGTTAGACATCAGTGTTCTACACGTGGAGAATCCAGGTGGAAAAGTGAATGTTTGCACAACTTACTAATTGTGTGCATTTAGAGTTTGGGATTAGTGTTCAGTCTGTTGTGATTTATTTATTCCAAATATTACCTGTCAGCCTATGAATTCAATGTGGTGTCAAAATCCCTCCTTTCTCTGGATCCTATATAAATATATATTTAAGCGAGCCATTTTCACTACCTTCTGTGTGTATCTCTCCATTTTAAAAGTATATTATAAAGTGATTTGGCTCTACCTGTCATAGTCACAGCCATTTTTACTTCCTAAGTGAATCACCTTTCTGAGATGATCTAGTTCCTAGCAAGAGCCGAACCGTTGAGCTGAGACAACATTGATGAGGATAATGGAAATAAAAAGGAAACCATTGTTTTAGTAAACAATATTTTATGTATTGGTAGTCACAGTTGATGTTGATTTCTCACAGAAAAGAAGGAATTAACGGCCCATTTGGCTGTTGATCTGCTCACAAAGTGACTAACTGGTATGAGGTCCTCTATTTTCTCTGCCTTTACCTACAAAGAGATTAGATCCAGGTTACAGCGCAGTATTAATTAGACGTCTCATTGTGTGGATATTTTGTAAAAGCACCTTTTGGTCTGCAAAGATGTTGACGCTGCAGCTTCAGGGCGACGGGTGCAGAAGCATCACGCTGGTTCTCCTTGTGACGAGACCCTAAATCTGCCCTCCACCAAATAATTTTTTGTGTGTGTGTTTTTATCAAATGTTCAAAAATGAACCTCGTAACCTTGACTTGCCTGTGAATCGCCGTCCCCATAAATGTTACCGTGAAAGCGCTTGGAATGTTTCCACTGATGCGTCGCGTTGTCACACTCATGTTTGTTGTTTTTCCCGTAGCTGTCATGGCTGTCTGACAGGCTGCCAAAGCCCCCTTCATGGATCACAGAGCACGCAAAGACAAACCTCTGCATCTGTGAGCGTAGCCCACAACGAGGGAGTCCGACCCGCGGGCGCATCATCGGGCTGACGGCGGCGCGCGTGGCCTCCTGAGTGGTTCACAGACATCGGCCGGGCGGACCGCGGGCCTCTCGCTATGCTCTTCAAACGGAGAGACGCCCGCCGCGGGGACGCCGGGAGGAGCACGCTTCTCTGGTGGAGGACTTTCCCTCTGGCGATCATGCTCCTGGCGACCACGGCCCCCGGCGCCGCGCCACAACAGCAAGACAAGGAGGCGGAGCTGATGTCCGTGCAGCTGGAGGCGTCCATGCAGTCCTCCGTGCTCTCTGAGCTCCGCGCCGCGGCGTCCTCGGCCTCTGAGGGAACGCCGGCGGCCGTCCCAGACTCCCCTGCAAAGCCCCGGGGAGTTCACACCGGCATCCCCGACTCCTCGGCCATCGCAGGCCAGGTGTTCCAGCTGCAGGTTCCGCCAGGACCGGCCAATGCCACCTGTAACGTGCACGTAAGTAACCATGGCGACGGGGTGTAGCAGCACCGCTGCTGAGATGCATCTAGTAATTAATGTTTTTGGCATTTAATGCTGAATCCTTCATCACAGGATATGTGTTGGTATTTACAAATGATTGAATGTTGATTTAATGAGATTATAATAAAATCACCCTTTTCTAAAGTTTAAATGGACACGGCACCATAATCATTTGTGATTTTTAAAAAAAGCAAAATGACTGCATTAACTACCTTTTTTATATTTCTTTTACGTCCATTATGGCAAGGACAGTATTCGGTTCTGCCTGTGTAGATGTAGAGTGTCCGTCCCTTCAGTGTTTAATCACCGCGTCACTGCTGATTGAAGCCGGCGTTGGTGCCATTTGTTCCAGTCTGACTTGTGAATGAGATGAGATTATTATTATTGGCCCGAGTGGGAATGCAGAATGATATCCTGTCATACTGTAATAACTCCAAATGAGGAGTGATGACTCACGTAGTTCTTATCAATGGAAGCGCACTCTGCTTCCTGTTCATATTTGGCGAGATTTGATGGACTGAATGGAATACGGAGGAGGTTGGGGAGATAGTAAAAGCATTTCCGTTTTCACTCTAGATACTTGAAAGATTTGCATTCATCTACTGTTTGTGTCCTCTAGCTGCCATTTTACTGGCATCTTGGTCCACATTAAGCATTTTATCTATGCTAATCTGTCCACCATTTTACTTGGAACATTTCCTCAATACATCTTCACATTTGCCAATCGGTGCTTACTTTATTTTCTGTTTTGGATTCACTTAAAGTTCCTGGTCAAACTGAGTAATATTAGGTTTTCACCTGGGTCCTAGTAGCTTTAAATGGCCAGTCACTAATCACGCTTGAGGGAATTATCACTTGTTGTCCATTTCTGACCTTCTATCCGTCTTTCAGTATCCCTGAAGTACCAAACGGTGATTGTGTGTCTTATTCCTGCTTGTCCTCCTGCAGCTGACTGAAATGGGAAAGCAGACTTTACCTCACTGGCTTTATTGGGACAAGGCGAGCTGCGCTGTGAGGGGCCTGGCCCTGGAGCAGGATAAAGGTGTGTACCACATCTTGGTGTCTGGGGAGGAGATGATCGACCATGTGTTCCCCAGTACGGTGTTCTCCATTGAGGTGCACCCGGAAGAGCGCGCAGACAGCGAGCCCGCCCTGCTCGCGCTGCCGTCCGACAGCGGCGGCGTCCAGCCGTTCACCTGCGGCTCCGAGGAGCTCGTCACCGTCCTCACCGTTATCCTGGACGCCGACTTGACGAAGATGGGGGCCGAGCAGAGGGTCAACCTGCTGGCCGTCATGAGGAAATTCTCTCACGTGCCCCTGGAGCACATGAGGGTGGTCCCCGTTGTAAACAACCGCTTGTTTGACATGTCCGCTTTCATGGCCGGGCCGGGGAACGCCAAGAAGGTGGTGGAAAACGGGGCGCTCGTTTCATGGAAGCTGGGCTGCGGCCTCGACCAGGGCAGCATCCCCGACATAGACAGCGTCCAGTCCTCGGCCAAGAACGGGACCATGTCGGCCCGGCTGGGCTACCCGGCGGTCGGCTGGCACATCGTGAACAAAAAGCCCCACAGCGTGAAACGGGTCAGGCGCCAGTTGTACAACACTCCAACGCCGGTGCCCTCCCTGCTCCCTCCCACTTCTCACCCGGAGCCCCCTGTGCGCGTGGTTCCCACGCCAACTTCGCCCTCTATCGCCATAGCAACAGAGAACTCTGCTCCCCCCGTCCGGGGTCCCCTGCTTGTCCCCGTGAAGCCGACTATGAGGGTCAGGGATCAGGTAGCCCACACGCCTGTAGTCGGGCCTCCCCAGCCCACCAGGGTACTGGGAACCACAAGCACCATCCCTATTCAGCCCACCATGACCCGGCCCACCTTTGTGGAGGCCACCGCTTTGCCGACACCCCCGGGTACCACCAAAAGACCCAAACCCACTGCGACGAGGAAACCCAAGAAAATCAAGACCACCACTCCGGCCCCCCGGGAGCCCAAGTCCACCACACCCAAACCGCCCAAACGCACCACCCCGCCCACCCTGCTCCCTCCGGACCAGAATCAGAACCCGGAGATCCGCAACGCCGTTGATCAGGTGAACGCGTGGGTTGGAACGTACTTCGAGGTTAAGATCCCTCCGGATACCTTCTACGACAAGGAGGACGGCACCACGGACAAGCTGCGTTTGACTTTGAAGAAGACCCCCAAGGAAGCCGTGAACGAAACCTCTTGGATTCAGTTCAACAGCACCATCCAGCTGCTGTACGGCCTCCCGGAGGAGCAGCACCAGGGGAAGCACGAGTACTTCATGTTGGCCACGGACAAGGGCGGCAAGAGCATCATGGACGCATTCGAGGTTCAGGTCAACGGCTGGTCTGCTAGCGACAAACCGTCCGTGGTGTTTGCCGCCCGTTTCCACGGTGACCCCAAAGCGTTAAGCAATGACATCCACAAGAAGATTCTTTTGACCAAAAAGTTAGCGTACGCCCTCGGTGATCGCAACAGCAGCACGGTGACCCTCCGGAGCATCACCGCCGGCTCTGTTGTGGTGGAATGGACCAACAACAGCCTCCAGCAGAGCCCCTGCCCAAAGGAGCAGATCTCAGTCCTCAGCAACAGGATCTCCGACCCCCAGGGGAAGCCCAAAATGGCCTTCTCCAAAGCCATGGAGCCCGACTTCAGACCCATCAACATCTCCGTGCGCGGCACCCATAAATGCCAGAGCTACACGTTCGTCCCGCCAGGAGAGGTGGCCATGCCCGCGCTTCCCACGGCCTCGCCCTCGCCCGGGACGGGCCGGCGGAACAGCGACGACGTTTACCTCCACACCGTCATTCCCGCCGTGGTGGTGGCCGCCCTGCTGCTCATCGCCGGGGTCATCGCCATGGTCTGCTACCGCAAGAAGCGCAGAGGGAAGATGACCATAGAGGAGCAGGCCACCTTCATCAAGAAAGGCGTCCCCATAATCTTCGCAGACGAGTTGGACGACTCCAAGTCGCCCCCGTCCTCCAGCATCCCACTGATCCTTCAGGAGGAAAAGCCCCCGCTGCCCCCTCCGGAGTACCCCAACATGGCCGGCCCGCACAGCACCCTGCTGAACCAGGATCTGCTGGAGGAGTATTCGATTTATCAAGATGACGATCCTAACGCTCCTCCTTACCAGCCCCCGCCGCCGTTTACTGTCCCCATAGAAGGCAAGGGCTCCCGGCCCAAGAACATGACCTCCTACAGGTCCCCACCCCCCTACGTGCCCCCCTAACGCATGCCCCTCTTTCAGTTTGGAAAGCAGGTACAATGTAGGGACGCTTGTTGAGAAGTACGACCCGAGTGATTCCACACGAGTTCAGTTCTGAAATGTGTCTGACTTTGTAGAGCAGGCAAACATCTCCACGTATTCCCATCATGGATAAGACACTCATCGTACTACTGGCGGCACGGGGCAAGTGGATGGGGGACAGTTTGTATTTCTCTTTTTGTCCGTATCTGCTTTTGACTTCTCACTTTTTTTTTTTTTTTTTTTGCCAAGAAGAGTCACTTTTATCTTCAATGATGTACTATTTCTATTGTATAGAAAATAATAAAGAAGCAGGAGAGACTGAAGCCCGCCGGGCCTTTGAGCAGATGTCACCATGACAACAGACCTGAGGCTCCCCCTCACAATGTTAATCTTTATGAGTTCTATATCACTCTTATCTGTCTTTCGGCCTGGTTTACTAAGATTTTGCACCTGTTATTTCCAGAGGGGAATAAATAACTGAAAGCATGAAACTTTCTTTACACGAATCCGTTGTGTGTTGGACGTTGATCCCTCCCTTTTTCTCTCTGCTTTGCTCCCTCTTGACAATAACATGCAACCTTGCACTTATGCAATTTCTTGTTAAACCTTGCACTACGTGAGCACAGCGAGTGGTAGTCCAATAAGGAGATAAGATGTTCTTTTAGCATCCTTGAGCTCGGCCCGAGGTTCTGGTACCGGATCACAGGACGGATCACGCCTGTGCTGGATGGAGCCCGATGAAGGTACAAAAACAAATAGACTTTTTTTTTTTTCCCCTTTTTTAAATGCGTATGTGCCACTAAACCTGTCTGTGAGACGACTGGTTTTGCTGTTGCCACGGTTACGTCTGTGGTCACAAGGCAAACTGTGGGGTTGCTGCAACAATAATGAAGGGGGCCAATGGAATGCTGTGGTTCACAGCAGGGTGACGATTGGGGACACAGTGAAGGAGGTGGATCCTCGGTCTTATTAATCAGTAGGTGTGTGTGGGGGGGCGGCGGCGGCCTAGAGGACTTCGTTATGGCCGCCCTGCCTCTCGCTGTCTGGTGCTCTGCCCGTCATCAGTCGGGACGAGGGGATGTACATAATTGCGTGCCTGTGAAATGAATCAACTCCATTATGTCAGTGTCATAAGTCGACCTAGTCGGGAGAGATGGGGGGGGGGGGGTGCTGAGTGGGAAAATGATTTTATTTTTTAATTGTATGTCTAGATTTATGATCACAATCATTTGGGTGGAAAAAACGACTTTATAGTTTGCTGGTACAAAAGAATCCACGACTCATCACAAAAGAATAATCATCTCAATACGAACAAAGAATCAACATGTGAATTATGTACATTTCATATCCGATATCACCATAAGAAAAAATGGTTAAAATCTAATGTTTTTACTGAGTTTTTGATACAGTCTTAAACTTGTTTTATGAAAATATATTAATAAAATGTAATACTATTTGTAAAGCCTCAACGATTGTGTATGGTCCCTTTTTTATTTGAACAAATGAAACTATTAAACATGTTTTCAATACATATGTGTATTAAAGTGGCTGCTCAGCAGTAACTGCGACGTAACGTGATGTTTATGCCTGAAGCACCGATGGAGGACCAGTGTTGTTTATAGAAATCGAGTCCAGGCTCCAATATTAATGTATATAAAGCGGATACCCAGCAGGCAGCTGTGCGAAGTGCTTCTGTTCTGGGACGATTTTGGTTTTTGCGTCTTTTTGAGAAATATCAATAACTGACTGAATATCTGCGCTCACGTGTTTTTTTTAATGTTTTTTTTTAGGTATTGAGCTTTTTGGGACTCTTAAGTCCTGGAAAACAAGCTGTGAATGGTTTCTAAAGACTGGGTTCAATTTGCATAATGTGTATTTGGTGTGTTGATTTACCTTTTAAGCTCACGCGGAATCACTGAAGATCTTTAGACTCTTAACGTGACTTCTTATTCAGAGCGGAGCCTCTACGTCTGCTGTCATAAAGCAACAGACTAAAACGTATTAACGGACCTGATTTCATTTTTATTGACATGATCACATGATCTGGGATACAAACACTACATACAATGTTAAGTTTAATTTTTATTTTGTCACATTACACAAAGTAAGAACAAATCACCGTATTGTGTGTTCAATAAGTCATGAAAAGCTTTAGAATATCATTGGTTGAGCGTGTCATAAAAACTTCGTATGGAAAAAGTTATTTCATAAAAAGAAATGATGTCAATAGTCAAAAGGCTGAATAATATATATGTGAAAACAATTTATTGCATGTCAGAAAAAAGTAATTTTTACATTATAAAAATCATTGGTCATCAGATATTATCCCCAAAAGTATTAAACTTTTAAAATCAAAAGAATAAAACATATACACACAATAAAGGATGATATAAAAATGTCGTGCTCGTCATAAACTGCATAGTTTAATGAGCCGGCCTCCAACCGTCAGTGGAACTTCCTCTCAGTACGGAGGCCGCGTGGGAAATGACATCATCGGTACGCGTCTTCTCCCCACTGCACTTTTTTTTTTCTTTCTATTAAATAATTTAGACTTTGAGATGTTGGTCAGATGTGCAGCGATTGCTGTTTGGGTCGATGTTCCTGGGAAGCGCCGGGTACCACGAGTGGATCAACACCGACCAGAAGGACGCTACGGACACCAGCAAAGAACCTCTGGCCAACCGGAAGCATCACTGCAGACAAAACACACGTTGGAGGTTTGTTGGTGAGCGTTGGCGCCCCAGAGTTTAGTCTATTTTTGTGCAAGTACATTAAGAAAAAAATATATGTATACATTTACAAAAGGGCAGTTAGTGTCAGTTATGAAAAAACATCCTCGTTTAACAGAAAGGTGATAATAAAATAATTGTATAGACTTCTGAAAAGTGTTGAGTCATAACGGCATGTTTTAAAAAAGTGGAAAAAATACCTGTCTGTAATCCCGGGGATTTTTGTGAATCATTTTATATCAAAAAATGTAAAAAGAATGTAAAGTCATCGCATAACAAATTGAAAAAAAATACATAGCATGTTGGAAAAGTTATGGTAAAGAAAGTGATGAAACTGATACAAATAATATTGTAAAAATATATTTAACATAACATAAAATGACATGAAGTGTTAGAGCAAAAAGAGTGACCTATTTAAACGTCTGAGAAAGACACAGCTTTGTATGTCTAAAAAAAAATCATAGAATCGAATGTTGGAAAGAAATTGTTACAAAAGTCATCGAAGTACTTGAGTATAGAATTTAGAAAAGAGTTATGTTGGGCTAGTATGTAGTATAAATAGAATTTATGCAATATATTTTACTTTTCATGAAAGTAATTACATGTATATTTATCTTTCATATTTATATATATTTTTCATTACACTTTAAGTTGTAGTAAAGTATGATAGTATGCTAAGAAAAGATGAGGAAACTGAGGAAAAAGGAAGACGAGTCCACGAGAGGAGCAGCGTACCGACAGGCGGGAAAAGACAGGAAGTAAAACACCTGAAAACCAAACCATAGTATGAAAAGAGGTCATACAAAGTGCCACATTAAATACTCCGTCAGCACAAGAAGTAGTTTGATCGAAAGCAGCAGCCGGGTCCTTTATTCAGCTACGATATGACGCAGGCTCTCAGTACGGGGGGGGTAATTATTTCTGCTGGGTATCCGACACAAACCTTTTCTTTTGATTTAAAAGGTAAATAAAAAATGAAGCCGGGCGCTGAAGGAAGCGGCCTCGTAACGGGCCTCATTAGGAGCCCTGAGGAGCTCCGTTTCCCATTAGGCTGAAAGCTCGGCGATAACAAAGAAAACCGCACAACCACGGAGGGTAACTGTCAGGGAGTGTGACACATACTCATTTCTTTTCATGCCGGACGATCCACACAAAAGGTTTTTGCGTTCGCACGCTGAACCGTGGAGACAATAATAGAAATTTTAATGAGCTGAGCTGCATTTTCTGAGCTCATTCCTCAATGAGCTGGTGGTCCACGTGTTCTCCTGGAACATCTCCAGCTTGTGTTGACCTCCGAGCGTGTTTCAGCCAAACGTGAAAACACCACAGTGACTTCTGGACGCGGGAACCAGACACTCAAAAATCGCTGACTAATTCCCTCGCTGCTGCATTGAGGTAAATAAGTAAAAAGAGAACAAAGCGTCTTTGATCAGTTGTTTCGCTTCATGGGGACCGAATACTTCTGCACATGAAAGTAACAAATTGGAATTCTTCATTTAGCTTCCACTTTAAATGCTAAAGTTCAGCTAGCTAATTAGCTCCCGCTAAAGCTCGATTTAAAGTTTGAACCATCTGTTCCAACAGTGAGTAACGACGTCACACTGTTAGTCAGATGTGTGTATTTTGCATTAAAACTCCGCTGTAGGTTTTAATTCGATAAACACTTGTTTTAAATAAGAACACAAAGTATAAACAACCTGTATCCCCTTCAAATCATTTGGATATAAATGTAGTTTTGTCTCCAAGAGATGGAAAAGCAGAACCTCATGCGTGTTCAATGACCGCGGCGCCACCTTGTGGACCAACAGAGGAAGTTCATTTAAAAACGCTTTGGTAAAAAATAAAAAAAGGTTTGCTGCGCCTCAGCGCTGAACAGGAAGTGGATTCAGAGGTTCATCCTGTGCTCGGTCGCTTCCGGTTGTGCAGGTATCACATTCTGAGGCTGAAGTCATAATATGGGGGGGGGGGGGGGGCAGATCTCTGCAGAGGCATCAGCAGGTGGCAGCAGCATCACACCAACGAATGCAAAGGTGCCGATTAATACTCTGCTTGGAATCACGACCCACCAAATAACAAGTAGGCGTGATGATCATTCATCAGACGCGGTGTGTCGAGGAAGATCGTATTATATGATACTTGACTTTCTTTGAATTCATTACAGTTCAAGTTGCCCCCCCGCCCCCACTAATGTGTCCACCCTCTGAAGTCACGCTCATAATTCAGTCACACATGTAGAAAGTTTAGACTAATTGGATTTCACTTCTTATCTCACCAAGTGAGATCATCCATTCCACTGCTGGAGTGGGAGGGGGGGAGGGCGTCAGCGCCATAAGCCCCCCCAGACTTCTTCCAACAGCCCCGGCTAACCCAACGGGACGGGTTTCTCATTCTTTGGCTCCAAGCGGCATCACCTGGTGCACGACGTGCACGTGCACGTACGGTTCAGTCCACACGCACACACAGTGATGTGCAGGACGAGCAGATGGGTCAGACTGTGTAGTTGGGGGGGGGTCTGTTCTCCTTGGGGACGGGGGGCCCTCAGGAGACACAAACCCCAGAGATGGACGCTGGATCATGAGGTGGACGGATTGCATTCACACGTGTGTTCACACACACACACACACACACACACACAGCTGTGTTCTGCGTCTGTCAGAGTTCGCCACTTTTCGCAGATTACCACAAAACCAGGAGAGGCAGACGGGATCTCTCTTCTTTCGGCGGTGGATCTTCGGGCCTCCATGAGGAAAATCCAGCGAGTCATCTTCGGCGGTGGTGGCAGTCCATAAACTCGGTGGGGAGAATACATAAGGAAGGCGGCCTTGGGGGGGGGGGGGGGAGGGGTTCGATCAAATGAAAAGTGCTCCGTCGCTGAAAAATGAGACGCGGAATCCTCGGCGACGCGAGAGCAGAATTTGAACTGATTTATAATCATTTAAACTTCCAACGCTCAAACTGTTGTTTGAGGGTTTACAGGACTGACTTGGGATCAGTTCTTGTGTCCCTCTCCCTCAGCTACTCATTTCCATTTCAGTAGTTTGTCCCCCCCCCCCCCCGGTAGGTGTCATCATCAGATCAGTGATCTGTGTGTGATGTGGACACGCGTTGTTACGCTGCTCAGCTTTCAGTTACATTTCACAGCCGCCAGTTATCGGTGCCTCAAATGCACCGCTCCTTCGGGGGGGGGGGTTCTGAACGCAGCCTGAAGCGTAACAAGTGTGCAACATATCCAGCAGATGCATGCAGTCCTCAAGGATTTATTATTATTGTTGGGGGGGGGGGGGCATTACTTGGAGGAGCATTTGTCTCAGTCAGCCGGCTTGATAACGCAGCTCATCCAAGGAGTCATTTTCTAATAATCATTAACTGGGGAGGGGAGGGGGGGGGGGGGGGGGGGGGGGGGGGCGGGGAGGAGGGTTGGTTTGGATGTTGAAGAGATGAGACGGGTGGGGGGGGGGGGGGGGGGCTATGACAGTTCCTACAGCCGAGGCGACACTAAATCCCCCAGCCAGAGATAAGTGAAGATAAAGCAGGTGACTGAGCTAATTGTGACCTGTCAGAATCCATATCTCCAACCACTGTCACACGAGCAAAATCTCAAATGCATTCTCTCCACCCACCAAACCCCCCCCCTCCCCTCGCCCCCCGGGGGTAAAAGTGGTGAGAGACCACGGAATAAATACAGGGAGACACTAATGTAATGAGAATGATGCCTGGTCTCTTCGGCTGATTAAAAATGCAATAAGGCTGCAGCAGGAAAGCCACTCAGTCTCTGTGCAGCTGAGCAGAGGCAGGAAGTATGTAGGTCCATGACCCCCCCGATACGAGGCGGCCCCCGCTGACCCCTGCACTAACTCATTCCTGTAAAGAGGGGGGGGGGGGGCATCGCTTTCTTGGATCGTTGGCAGAAAAAAACAAAACATCGTGGTGCTCTCGACGTGATCGGGGGCCCACGAGGAGAAGTGGAGGTCAGGACGTCTCAGCAACGGGGCGACATGCAGGCGTCTCGATTCCCTCAGAGCCACGATGGTGGTAAATAGACAGCATCGTAGGGGGGGGTTGGGAGGGGTGGGGGTACAAATAGTGTCTCCGTCCACCCTTCCTTCCTTATGGCAGCCCTCAGTTGGTCTCTGACGGGAAGCAGATAAGCTTTCACTCCGGCTGGAGTTGGATAATTGGACATTTACGGAGCGATAGGAAAGCCGGCGGCCCGGGAGCCCATGAAACAGAAGATAATCGAGGCTCTGCATCGGTAAATTGTCTGTGAAAGAGCGCGTCAGGAGTTCTGACAAGATAAGGGAGGCCTACTTCAGCCAAGAGGAGGACGGAAACTTCGTCCCCCCAGAAATCACGACCCGGCCCGCTCGCAACCGTCCGCTGCGTTTGTTTGCGAGGGAACCAGTCCCCCCCCCCCCCACTCCCCTTCTCGGGTCCTCCTGGTGGAGGCTCAGACCACCAGGATGAGGAGGAAACTGGTGGAGCCCTGAGAGTCTGGTGCTGACCGTCCTTCACACGGTTTCAGGTGTTTGGAAGCAACATGCTAATCCAAAGGTCGCGTCTTTTTAAGAGTTATTTCCTGCGTCGCATCAACATACAAAATCCTACTGCAGCTTCGGCTGTTTCTCCTCTTTTTTTTCCCGCTGAGCTGCAGATCCAAACCCCCGGACGGCGCCCACTGATTGCTCGCACACGGACGCCGACACAGACAATTAATTTGGTTGGAGGAGAGGCTCCTCTTAATTGGGCAGAAGTGGGATTTCTCTCCTTTTAGAGAAATGACAGACTGCGAGTGAGAAGCGGGGACCATCTGGTCCCACGAGAGCAGAGACAGAAACATCAGAGCAACAAAGAAGCTCCTCCCGCCTCCTTCTCACAGACAACAAGAGGAGGAATCAGCGTCTCCCGGACGTCCATCACCGGTGGCGTGCAGCGGCTGGAAGCGAGACGGAAGCAGAACCCTTCTCCGCGTGGTTTTTTTTATCATGATCAATAGGAATTATACACAACGTACGCTTCGCAGCCGCGGATGAGGAGGGTAAGCGGGCGAGGGGCCGCCCACTGGCGGGACAAATCGTTCTGACGTGTTATATTACTATTGTGGGGGGGATAGGTGGTGAGAAGCCACAGCGAGGGGGGAGTGAGGGGGGAGACAAACGAACGCCCCCCTCCCCCCACCCCCCCCCGCCGCCTCTGGGGGTCTGGCCTCCTTTGCGTGACCAGAACCAGGACATTTGGTGTTTAATTATTCGTTTTCACATTCTTCTGGGAGTCAGAAAGGACGAGGAGAAGCTGTCAGCTTTAGTCGTATAAAAGATAACAAAATGATTTATTACATGTTGATAGTTTGACAGACATCACGACATTCTTGCATGATTGCTCTGGTAATAATGCGTCGCCCACCACAGCTATGCATAATAGTCCCAACCTATATAAAACAAACATGCGTGCAGATACACAGTGGGGGGGGGGGGGGGGTCAACAACAGATCAAAGCCATATTCTGTCACTTAATGATGAAGTTCAGCTCTGGTAAAGAAAAACAAGCAGCAGAAAGATGCTGAAGATTATCATCATTTTCAGAATTTATTCATCTTTTTTTTTTCTTGTTGTTTCTTTTCTTGTTTACATCAAGTAGAACAGACACATTGGCACATGCAAAGTGAACACTTTGTGGTGCTTCTCATTACCATCCAAATCCAATTCCAACAGAGAACGGGTATATCTAGTTTTGTACTCCAAACATGAAAAATACTCTCCAATATTTACAAGAAAATATATATACTTACAATGTCCATCACTGTGACACAACAATCACCCGCAGCGACTCAGTAACACAAAGAACTGCACGTGGCAGAGCGGCTGCTCGTGGGAATTAAATCAACTGCAAGAAGAGGAGGCACAGAATAAAATCACCGAAACAATACAGAACAGAAACGGGATGGGGGGGGGGGGGGCACAGCGAATATGGCTTTAACGGCATGTCAAAGGAAAGCAGATCCGCGGTCCCCTTTTTTGGGGGGAATTATCTTTTTTTTTGGTGCCCCGTAGTTTGTCCTCGTTCACAGTGACCCTTCGGCAGGCGAGTCGATCGCCGTCAGAGAGACGGGGAGGAGGGGGCACGGGGAGGGGTTGGTGGTGGGGTGGGGGACATACAGGTTTGGGGGGTCCCGTGTCGGGCAGGATGCAGGTCCAGGACCCTCCCACCCCCCGCCTCGCCTCCCTTTTTGTTTTTTTTCTCTCCAAAGATCACAGATAAATGTGAACGGGTTCCTCTCCCCCCGAGCGGATCAGATCCTGAGGTTGTTGTAACTCACATATGTTTTCTTGGTTGCTTGACCTGAGAACACAATGACACAAACAGAAACAAGAGAAATAAACATTAAGTCTTTTACTTTGAGCTGAAACAACACAAGTAAAAAATAAAATGAAACAAAGCGCATCTTCGTCGGGGAGCTGCTCGGTGCGGCGCCGAGCAGCTGGGTTCAATCAGTCGCAGTATTTTCTGGCGTGGTATCATTTCAAATCACAATGCCCTCGTGTGCAGCCTTAGTTTCTATTTTCAGATGTTAACTGGCGGTTAAAAAAAGAAAAACACCACACAAGCGAACACACAACAAACACTAGGGGATGCAATGTGATCCCGGCCTGGATGGATCGCCATGGAAACGTATCAGTATGTGGCTGAGTGCCTGGGTGCTGCGTGCGTCTGTGTATCCTCACGAGAAACAGCTCGCAGCCTTCAGAGTGAAGGCATTTCTCGCTCTCTCACACTCTCTCGGAACTTCGCTAAAGAAAAGCCGCTTTAGGGTTACGGCCGAGGTCACGTGACCAGCCGCCCGGCGCCGTGTACGAGGGCGGGTTCGTCGCACAGTGAACCACGTGAACCTTTTTTTTTTTTTTTCATTTAACCAGAGACTTTGCTGTAAACGCTCATTCCGCTGCTTTAATGTTGCCGTGGCAACCGGCTCTCGCGGACGTTTGCAATTAAAGTCGCACCGATTCTTTAAAGCCGGAGTTAATTTGGCCAGCAAGTATGATGAATAAAAGATTACAGAATGTACAGCAGATTCTGGCTGTTAACTAACAGGATTAAAACATTTGTTTTTTCAGCTAGCCGCTGTGTGTGTGTGTGTGCGTGTGTGTGTGTGTGTGTGTGCGTGTGTGCGTGTGTGTGCGAGTGTTTTACTCTTCTGGGATAAAAACACTGCCGTCCTAATTCTTTATTATTCATCTCCTACAGCTTTTCATTTCCCCGGCCGGTTCTGATCCGTGACGCTTCCTGGCATCGGGGGAAGTGACGCCTTTCCAGCAGTGATGGCCGAGGTCCTTCAGGAGGCGTAATCATGACGATATCTGCACAACTTCTGATGCTCTTAATCCCATAAATCACTCCAATGAGTCATCTGGCACGGCGCTGATGGGCCCTGAAAGGGGGGGGGGGGGGGTTTGCCGCTCTGATGGTTACAGGAATTGACGGACAGTCTCCGGGGACGGTCGAGGCACAGTTCAGGTTTGAGGTGAGGCGGGGGAGGGGGGTGGAGGGGGGGGCGGTCATGCACATAAATTCGCCATTAATAAATGTCACTTCTCCTGCCGCTGAAAAGAAGAAGGGCGAGAGGAGGGGGGAGTGCTGAGGGGGGGGGGGGGGGGGGGGGGGGACGAGGCGAGAAGACATCGGTGTCGTGGAGACAGAAGGTGAGAGACTCACACGGAGCGGATGACGCGCTGCACTTTTGGGACGGGCCTTACTGTCCCCCCCCCCCCCCTCCCCCCTCCTCTCACCCCGGGGGACTTTGGACACGCTGCTGTGACAGATGTGAAGGTTTCAGCCTCGATGCTCACTGAGCCAGATGTGTGCAGGATGTGTCGCCATCACCCCCCCTGATACACAGCATCACACACACACACACACACACGATTCGGCTCCTGACAGAGGAGGGAGAGGACTGTTGGGAGCATCAGTTTATAGGTATAATTCAGAGAGGGGGGGGGGGTGGAGGGGTGGAGGCACCTGCGGGTGCTGCGATCGCTCCGGGTGAGGAAGCCTTTGATGTGCACGAGCTGTCAATCTTCCTCCCGACACGTCGCGAGAGAGCAAAGAGCTTCCATGGCAACGATGTTCCAAATGCAAGATGTTTTTTTTTTTTCCTTTCTCCTGATACTCGCGACCCCAACCCCCCCCCCGTCCCGTCCCGGTAGGCGGTAATATCCTGCCCTCTGTTTCAGATGAAGGGGGGAGGGATCAGTCAGCAGCCTCCCAATCAAACCACTGGTTCAAGAAGGGAAATATGAGGAGGGAGAGAACGACATCTCACTCGCCCTTCCCGGGTCAAAGGATTATGGGAACGCCCCCCAGCACCGACGTCTCATCTTCACTCGCCGCACACCGGGACCCACAAAGAGTTGTTTCATGACAAACTGCTGCATAATGTGGCTCCATCTCTGCACACCCATAAATATTACAAATCTGCCAACCGGTGACCTTTGAAGCAGGAGCCCCCCCCACCCCCCCAACCAGCCCGATCCCTTGGCTCTTGGTGCATGAGGTATAAAGCTTTATCTTCAGAGGGTCGACTAGCGTCACGTTAATGAACCTTTGGGACTCTTTACAGGACGTCACCACGTTTTATATCCAGTGAAGAAGTTAGAAGGAGCTTTTTCCTCTTTTTTTAAAAAGATTTCTTTCCTTATTTCTCACGGCGCACAACAGGCGTGCACGTTTCTACGCGCCTGTCTCCTCCGCCCTCTGTGCACGTGACCCGTCGGGGTCCTCACTTACTCATGGGGTCGGCGGCGGGGTTCTCGCACAGCTCCGTCTTGGCTTCGCCGTTGGGCCTCTCGCTGGGCTTCTGGGACAGACGCGACGACATGGTGGCCGCCGTGACCACGGCCTTGAAGCTGCGCTTCCTCTTCTGCACGTTCATCTCGGGGTGGAAGATGATGATGTACACCTTGGGCATGTAGAGCATGCCCAGCGCCACCGAGGCACTGAGGTTCATGGAGATGGTCAGCGTGGTCGTCTGAATGTACAGCTGAGAACAAACGGAAGGAAACGGGATTCGTGTTAATATGACGACTGTGTGGAGACCAGATGAGGCGATGAGGGCTCAACATCTGTGAGGAGTCCCCCCATAAATAATTATATATATAAATATATGTATATATATAAATATTATTAAAATTATATATATATATAAATATTAATATATATTAATATATATATCATTTTAATAATATATATATATATATATATTATATATATATTATTAAAATTATATATATAAACATATATATATGTGTATATATAATTTTAATAATATTTTTATATATATATATATATATATATATATATATTTATATATATAATAGACCCAATAATAACCAGCTTTACATCACTGAACCGGAGAGAAACTCCTCCATCACAACATGAGTTTCTTAGACTAACGACATACAAACAGCAGATAATCCAATGACATTTTTCGGGGGGGTAAACTTACATGATCACATATGTAATATGGGTGGGGGGTCATGGGGGGGTGGGGGGTCAGTCATGCGTACGGTAACAATAATCTAGTAGCGTTTATTCAAGCCTGACCTGCAGCTACAGTCGATCGGAGACGGCTGGAGCGTGTTAAGGACGACGAGCGGCCTCACGGAACCTCCCCCACCCCCTCCTCCCCCTCCCACCCTCCCCCCATGCCTCATCTCATCCCAACCCCCCGCGTATTCTGACCCCGCGAGCGGCTTCTTGCCTCTGGCTCCGCCGCCTTAAGATGCGATGAGCACCACCACATGGCAGCGCGGCGGGTACGAGTTCGTTTGGGGGGGTTTAAGGTTCACGGGAGCCTGACGCGGGTCGGCCCTCTCGGCGCCTCTGAGCGTGACGTGTGCCGATTCCCAGCTTGCATAACCCCGGATTTAGGTTGACACGGAGTTACAGGCCACATTTACACACAGCCGGGTATTTACAGAAACGAATATTTCTGCCCCTCCGTTTTCAAAAAAGTTTCTGTTTATATGAACCCGCATGAATACGGCCCCGGACGCCATCATAACTACGCCAAACCTGTGGTCGGCAGCGTAACGAGAAGGATAAAGACGTGCAAATCAATCAGAATTCTCAAAACCAACAAGTCGCGCACTGTGACGTTTGACAACCTAAAACTCCGTTGGACCGAGTTCACACGCAAACACAGAAATCTCCACTTTGGCCCACTTTTAGAAATGATCGTTTTCTGCGATAAAACCTCCGTTTTGTGTAAACGAAAGGCCAAAACGCATGAAGATAAACGCGTTTCCCCATCGTGTGAACGGGGTCTCAGAGCGACCTCGTCAAGCGCCGGTGATTTTGTGCCGAGAGGTCGGCGAGTTCAGCCTCTTCTGCTCCGTTCGTCTGTTAAGGGCCTCGCAGGAGAGGGAGCCCTCCAGAGCCCGAAAGCCCCCCCTCACGGATCCGCCGATGATGGCGTGAGGAGACGATTGTAGGCACGTTAACAGGCCGCCGGCTCAGGGAGGAAGAGCCGGCTCGCCGCTTGCACGCCGCTTTTTTTTTTTTTTGCCAGGCGAATAAACATCTGGACTCGCGGCGATTTACGGGACCTCATTCTCGCGCCTTTGTCTTCACGATCATCAACGCGCCGGTGCGCCCGGCAGCCTCGTCCTCCCGCGGAGGCAGCGATCTGGCGGGCGCGGCACGCATTAATAACCGCATGAATACCACCAGCAGCCGGTGCTCGCTCTCTCTCTCTCTCTCTCTCTGATGTGGGAGTCGCGAATTCGCAGCTTCTGCCACTGAGATACAATCGCAAGACGTTTTGGTGCGTGGTAACCATGGCGACGCTAGGGAGTTTTGGTTGGGAGTGAGCTTTTGATGAGATCCCCGGAATGCTGGACGCTGCTCCGCCGGCCCGGAGAGGATCGAGTGCTTCCTCCCACTCATCTGTGTGAAGGCTTTTCTTTCTTCACTCCCTCCAACACGTCTACACACACAGAGCAAAAACCCTCCTTCCTCCTCGCCTCTAATCACCGAGACGCAGTCCTCCGCTCCGCCATCCGACGAGAGCTTGACCCAAATTTCCGCAGCCCCCCCCCCCCCTGGTCTCCCCCCCGACCCAACTCAAATGGTTAACTTTCCACAGAGCATCCATAATTAAATCCTGTTGCTTTAACATAAATAAATACATGAAGTCGATTTTCCCAACTGCTCGGCAACTTCTCTATTTATAGCCGCGGTGATGATTTATTAACGGCCTCATCGAGACCCAAAATCAAACGGCTGCTTTGGAGTTTTAAATCTCTTTGACGAGCCAACTGGCAGCACGCAGCCACGACGAGGACATGTCTTCCATTTAGACAAAAAGCTGTTGAGGGTAATCCTCGTAATTATGCCCACCAGGGATGTACTTACTGCAAAGGCAATTTAGTCGGGTATGGCTGAGTACTGTGGATGTACACAGTGATAAGGACTCCGTTCAGTAAGTGACAATTAGGAGGCCCTCGGCCGCGCTGGAGAAGACCTTCAGTAATGATCCAGAGGATCGGGCCTCCTTTCAACTAGATGGACTTCCGCGTAGCAGGTGAATAGGCTCACATTTCATGTAAAGCCTTTTTTAAGTCTTTTCTTCGTTACACACCAGCCAGACGGGAGCAGTTTGAGGTTCAGTTTCCTGCCCAGAGACACTTGGGACTAGAAGACACCCGGGACCGAGCCGCCGATCTTCTACCCGCTGCACCTCTAGGAGGGGTGCGCGTTTCAGGTAGAACTCATTAACGCCGCGGGAGGTGGGATTGACGCAAGACGCTCACCGGGTCCGGGGCGAGAAGGAGCCGACGCTACAGGCTACGCTAACCAGGCTAGGCTCTATGCGCTCGCCCCTCTACGCGCGCACCCCTCTACGCGCGCGCCCCTCTACGCGCTCGCCCCTCTACGCGCGCGCCCCTCTACGCGCTCGCCCCTCTACGCGCTCGCCCCTCTACGCGCGCGCCCCTCTACGCGTTCGCCCCTCTACGCGTTCGCCCCTCTACGCGCTCACCCCTCTCTACGCGCTCGCCCCTCTACGCGTGCACCCATCTACGCGTGCACCCATCTACGCGCTCGCCCCTCTACGCGCTCACCCCTCTACGCGTGCACCCATCTACGCGCTCGCCCCTCTACGCGCTCGCCCCTCTCTACGCGCTCGCCCCTCTACGCGTGCCCCCATCTACGCGCTCGCCCCTCAACGCGCTCGCCCCTCAACGCGCTCGCCCCTCTTCGCGCTCGCCCCTCTTCGCGCTCGCCCCTCTTCGCGCTCGCCCCTCTACGCGTGCCCCCATCTACGCGCTCGCCCCTCTACGTGTTCGCCCCTCTACGCGCTCGCCCCTCTACGTGTTCGCCCCCCTCTACGCGCTCGCCCATCTACGCGTGCATCCCGCGACGCGCAGACCCCTCTACGTGTGCACCCCTCTACGCGCTCACCCAGTGTTGAATAGGTTTGCACTAAAAGGTAAAAACATTTACCTTTATAAGACGCTGTTGGTTCCTTTTGGCATTACTTTGTGAATGAATTATTCAGCCGTACTCATAAATACTCATTGTTCACCCGGCGAACACAGAAGCTTTGTGTCTCCCACAACTTTTACCTGCTTTATCTAAAACACTTTAAAACCAGGCCGTATTTCAAATATTCCCACCGACTCCACATCTCAATAACCGTCGAGTCAAACTCCCGTGAAGTGCGGTTGTTTTTTGAGGCAGCGAGACGGCAGCGTTCCTTTTTTACCTGGTGAAAGCTGGAATGAACAAGTGAGTCATTACTAATGAATCGTGGCAGCGCGCTCGCTCTTCAAAGGGGCTCGTGGGCGCAGGAGACAACTTACAAGAATCTAAGTGGTTCCATACGCGTAAGGCGCGCTCGTTTTGTGCCAGGAAGTTCTCCTTTAAGCACGACTGAATCTGGGGGGGTGTTTTAGAGGTTGTCTCCGTCTCAGGGAGGACGTTTCATTATGTCATAATCCCGCCCTGTGCTCGGGGTCACGGGTGTCGCCAGTAAGAGATTTCTCGTGTTCTGTTCGGTGTAGTTTGCAGTCACGTACACTACAAGGTATCATCTTGGTGGGATCTTGGGGGTCTCCATATCTGAGGTCTGAGGTCACGTCACGACTTCTGTGCGACTACAAAGCGATGAAACGGCAAACGTTCCGACAGCTCTCCGTCGTTTGGGGTGATAACTGGCAGCTGGTTCCACATTTTCCCAGAGTTTGGGATCAATCGTTCGATATTGGGGAACCTGGGGTGAGAGCGATTGGCCTCACTCCCCCCGCTGAGGATGGGGTGAGTTGGCGCGAGCCGGGAGGGAAGAGAGAGTTAACTGCATAGAGGGGGAGGATAAACACATTACCGCCTCGCGAGTCGCCGCGGGTATCGTAATGAACTCCTAATCGCTGCTGAGGGCGTAATTCATCTATGAAATCAGCAGCAAATTGAGACGAGGAAAAGCAGCTTCTGATCCATCTCACGCGGCAGCTCAGCAGGGAGGATATTGAACGCCGCGTCTCTCAGAAAGGTCAAGAGTGCCTGTCATCATCGATATTCTGCCAGTGAACCCACTCCCCCCCCTCCCCCGCTCGCTTCGTACACCGAAAGCTGCACGCCAGCTCCCGCGTCCGCCCGATGGATCTGCATTCAGAGGTGAGCTACCACGAGCGCGCCGGCTCACGCGGTCGTATTCCAGTGTCAAGCGCGTTGTTGAGTAGAGCGCCGCCGCCAAGAGACGGAATGTGTTCAATCACGCTGCTATTTACCCCCCCGCACCCGCTCTTGCCCCTCTCTCCGGGATGTTGAGCCCGGGGCGAGGTGAGAGTTAAAGATAATGGCGTATGGAGCCGCTGCCCCCCCACACACCCGTATCGCTCTGCAGCATCAACCCCTTCCTCCGCCTCTCGGTGCCTATTTCTGTCTGTCTGCGCCGGTCGGTCCTACTGTGGGTTTACGAGCAAATCGGGGCCATGCGAATGTGAAATGGAAAGAAAATGAACCCACAACTTATGCAGTCGCTGAACGTGCGTGTTTGTGTGTCCCTTTACGTGCCGTTTGGGGGGGTTTTCATTCTGCGTGTACAAACATTCACGTGCACACGCGTGCGGACCAGATAAAAACTACCTTTTCTGCGAGAGAAATGACTCACCTTCTCTGCCGACTGCGCCGTGCCAAAGAAAATGGGGATGAAGGCCAGCCAGACTATGCAGGTGGTGTACATGGTGAAGCCGATGGGTTTGGCCTCGTTGAAGTCCTCCGGCACGTCCCGCGTCTTGATGGCGTAGATGGTGCAGGTCACCATCAGCAGGATGCTGTAGCCCAGCGAGCAGATGATCTGCAGGTCCGTGATGTCGCACTTGAGCACGCCGCGGGCCAGCAGCGGGTTCACCGCCTTCTGCTCGTCGTAGTCGACGATGGTGTTCGGCGGGTCCACGGCGAACCACACCAGCACGCCCAGCAGCTGCACGCAGATCAGACTGGAAGTGATGGCGATCTGGGAGGTGGGGCTGATGAAGCGCGGCGCCGTGACCGTCTGCTTGCCCTGCTCGAAGATGCGGTAGATGCGGTTGGTCTTGGTGAGCAGCGCGGCGTAGCTGATGCACATGCCCAGGCCCAGGAAGATCCTCCTGAAGGCGCACACCGCCACGTCGGGCTTGGCGATCATGAGGAAGGTGATGATGTAACACAGGAAGATGCCGGTGAGCAGCACGTAGCTCAGCTCCCGGCCCGACGCCCGCACGATGGGGGTGTCGTTGTGGCGCACGAACGTCGCCATGACAAAGATGGTGGCGATGATGCCGAGCATGGCCAGGAAGACGGAGATGATGGCCCAGGCGGAGTGCCACTCCAGCTTGACGATGGGGATGGGCTGGCAGGCCGTCCTGTTGGGGTTGGGCCTCATGTTGTAGGCGCACAGGCGGCAGGAGGTCTCGTCGTACTGGTACTGGTAGCCGTCGCAGAGCTCGCAGTGCCAGCAGCACGGCATGCCCTTCACCCTCTTCTTCCTCTCTCCGGTCTTGCAGGGCAGACTGCACACCGAGATGGGCACCTCCTGCTCCCCATCTGGCCACTGCAGCTCCTCCAGCTGGTGGCGAGATGCAAGAGGGATACAAGAGGGATCGGGTTAGCGGCGGAGCGATGCGCAGAGGCGCCGCTGAATACGAAAAAACCACGTGGGCGAAGAAAAATACCTGTGATTTAACACTCACAGCCGAGCCATCAATGACTGTATTTTTCTCCTCACGAGGTTCTCGGCAGGAACAAAGTACAACGCAATGCCTGCTACCAGGCTGACGAAAAGGAAACCCATCGAACAAAACAATTACGCTAACACAGGACATCCTTCGCAGGGATCGCCTTCCCTAATGCTTGAAAGTAACTGGAATCACCATGGCAACACGTCCCACCTTCATTCAGTGAGATGAAAAAAATAAATAATAATAATTGGGAGACGCAAGACATTATGTTTTATCACAGAAGCCCGTGAGGTATGAAGTATGTGGTGATGAGGGAGGAGAACGGGACTGTTTTTAGAGTTTGCGGAGCTGTTGCTGTTTATGAGCTCTCATCAGGGGGAGAAGTGCAGTACAGAGGCGCACTGGAGAAACTCCGATCCTGGAAAAGGCCCCGAGGTGTTTCGTGGTTTAAACTCGCACCATAATCTCAATGCATAACTCAGCCTTAAAAAAGCCACGAAGAAATGGAACCTTTAGGGCTCTTACATATTTCTCCGGGTGTTAAAAAAAGCTTTCAGGATACTCTGAGCTGATCTTTTGATTTAGAATGAAAGTCTACTGATCCGTGGCTTTAAGAAGCACAGAAGACCCACGACTCGTTTCACAGCCAACTTACCAAAATAAGCCAGTTACCAACGAAAAGAAGCACAAATTTAAAAAAAATACACATTCCAGTAGTGGCTCAGCAGATTTAGTTTAATCTCATAATCATCTCTAATATGACGGATTTAAAAAGGTGCTCTGAGAGACGATGACATCATAAAGTGGCGCCGCATTAAACCACATCGGAGGGGAACGCGAGCTGAGCCTCCCGACGCCAAGGAACCCTGCGGAGCCTCAGGACGCAAGACGACCTGTCGAGCGTTCCTTTTTCCGTCGTCCCATGTGTGCTCACGCGGGCGACGCCACACGCAGCCCTGCCTGCAGCTCGCCGCCGCCGCGCTCCTCCACAGGTGGCAGTGATGCAGCGAGAAGCGCAGCGAGGCGCGGAGGAAGAAGAGCGCACGCTGGCAGTGTGTCAGTGTCAACTTCTTCTGCATCCCTGGATGTTGTGCTGCATCAGGTCACGCGCCGCAGTCATTGCCTCCCTGCAGAGGGCTGGTTGGGTGCACGCTGCATGCAGCAGCAGCAACACGACGGGCAGCCGGTGATTCGCACCGAATGTAAAAACTGGAGTGGCTTTGTAATGCCGTAATGGAAGCAGATGCACGACTAACTTGGCTGTGTGACTGTTTCATGAGGGAGAGCAGGTCCACAGGTGAAGGAGGAGAGAGTAACAGTGCAAACATAACTCGTGTTTACAGAAATACGCCGCGGGGCGGATTGATACCACCACGTCCTTCCGTTAGAACACGAAGCTGCTGAACGGCTGTTAGCTTAGCTTAGGAAGACTAGAAGAATGAGGAAACAGCCCCCTCCCGCCGCAGAACCTCTAAACCCCCCTAATTGGGCTTGTAGGATCTCCTTTATTTAATCCATTAAATTAAAAACACAGCTAGTTGCCTGGCAGAGTCACAGGGAGACTGCAGGAAGCCTCAGGCTGCTGCACAAAGCCCCCGTAAAGCCCCCACATGTCGTCTGCACACCTGCCTGCGCTGAGCCAACGCACGAGACACTAATTGGAGAGTTTTAGGAGACGCAGATCTGTTGTTGTGGACAAGTCTCCTCGTCTGACTCTCGCGTGGGAAAGACGAGCCTGTTTTTGACCCTGACGCTGCTCGTCTGGTGGGCAAATGGGGATTCAATCCGACCCGAGGAACCAGCAAGAACTGAACCCGGCCTGACCAGTTAGACCGGAACAGAAACTCTCGTTCCTCAAACAAAACAGTCCACAAGTATCATCACATTCAAAAGGAACCTAAAAGCATCGGCAATAATTGCAGGTAGACAGGTGTGTGTGTGTGTGTGTGTGTGTGTGTGTGTGTGTCTGTGTGACAAATGTGTTGCATCTGCAGCGTCTGGACAGATTATCATCTGCCATTTATCTCGGGGCATGGAGGTGCCATGTGTTATTTGGACAATGAAAGGCTCTCTCTGGAAAACCTTCAGATTACACACAGTGTGGAAACGAGTAATGAGGCCGACGGCTCTGTTGCCATGGAGACTATGGAATTTCCTCCACACCTCGGACTCGTGCGGATGCCGTATTGCTGCTCAGGTTGCTCGTGTTGAGATGTTAATCAGAGCTTGCGACAAAGTGCGAGACAAACCCCCGGTGTGCCCCCCCCCCCCCCCCCCTCCTCCATGTGCTGCGGTCGCATTGGAATATAATTGAGCCGAAACAGCGTTTTAGTTTGTGATCACACCAAAAAAAGGCAACGTTGTTGTTCCATCCGATGGAGTTTAATTCTTCAACCTGAAAGCCATTATGCAAATGTGAGCTCATCTGCATGCGAACCTCCTGCTGCGACCAGTAATCGGAGGCACGTGCACGTGCGCAGCGCTCCTCTGCGAGCCACCGCAGAGCACGTGCACGTTAGAGAGCGCGTTTGCCTTCGAGTGGAATAAATCTCAGCGGTTTCGTTATTGTCTGCGGTGGGATCTCCAGCTGACCTCACATTAGGCGCTTTCACGCGTCCGCCCGTCGGAATCCGTCCGGCTAAAACTCCACCTGAGAACACGCTCGTTAGATCCACGGGTCTTCGGTGCAGCAAAGGCCGGCGAGCGCCGTGGACCTCACGATCTTCTCTGAAAACAAACGTCTCTTCTCATTTCCACTTCTTTTTAACTCTGAATAAAGGCGTCTCTGGAGCTTCAGCATCGTTCGCGGGCGGAGACGTATTCAGGTGCGACTCTCACACACCCCGACTCCTCCACCTTTCCGTCGGCTCAGGAGCAGGTTTTAAAAAAGCAGCTGTGGACACGTTGGTGAAGAATCTTTAAACCAATGTTTCAATGATGAATATGAAGTGTTTTAATAAAAGAAAAGTGTACATATTCATTGTTAATCATCACATGTTCCCCTTTCTCTCCCACTGGATTCTGGTTTCTTTTTGCACCTAAAACACATCAATTAGAAGGAAAGTCTTCATCTGAGCTCCCTGTGCATGCAAATAATGTGCCCCCCCCCGCCCCCTCCATCATCTTTCATGTCACTGAGCGCGCACACACATCATGCTGACACACACACACACACACACACACACACAAAGCAGGAACTTGTCGTACCCTGATCTGCAGGTTCTCCACCCAGTGTCCCACCACCTTGTACTCTGGGGTGGAGGAGTTGGTCAGCTGGAACTGGAACAGGTCGTAGCGGCCCGGAGCGTCTCCGTTCTTGTTGAACACGACCGAGGTGCCGGCGCTGCCTGTACACGGGGGGGAGGGGGGGGGGGGGGGCGGGGGGAGACGTGTCACAAGGTGCAGCATCCCATGGACCACACAGAGTATTTACATTATTAATAACATACATACAGCACTATAACCCAAATATTCAACCTTTATGGGGAAAGGAAGCCCCCACCGACCAACACAACGCCCCCCCCCCCCCTCAGCTGCTTCCTATGCGCCGGCACGCGGGGGCCTCTGGAGGAATTCGTTCTCATATTCAGCGCATCGCTCGCTTGTACGACGTCGCATCAGAAGAATCCTAATGAAACACCTCGTGGGGCCGTAAGCAATGCTTTCCTTCACACGGTGGACAAATACAGGAGGAGGTGAGGGGGTTTGAGGGTGGGGGGGGGGTGTTAACAGGTCAGCCAAAGCATCACACGGCCCCCCATCTGCTCCCAGAGTGCAGCAGCCTGTCTCCTCGAGCAGAGCGAAGCATCACTAATTAGCTCGGAGAGGACGGACACCTGAAAATGAATCTGCTTTTCGGCCTCTTTGAACGTGTGTGTGTGTGTGTGTGTGTGTGTGTGTGCGCGACCTCTCGGGGCTCGCCGGCCCCCTCACCCCCCCCCCGTGGAATCGGAGTGAGATATCGCGCTGACGTGCGCGTCATCTCCCTCGCGGCGGTAAACGTTGAACGGCATTAATGGGAAAAGGGGGTTGCTCTGTACTTTACTCACGAGGTCTGCATTGCTGATGAGGTCGTCCCCCGCTGCATCTGACAGGAAGTCACCTGCGCGGCACGCCGGGGGGGGGGGGGCGGGCGGCGCCGATGGAGATGTCGTCTTTTTTTGAAATGGGACGGGGAGGTCGATGACACTCGCCATGGCAATTAAGGACTGTGATAGCTGCGGCTATAAAAGTCTAGAGGAAGGACCGGGAGCATATGTCCAAAAGCCTTGAGGGAGCATGTCGCCTCTTGTACCTGGAACAGAGCTGGTGGCTTTTGGGCGGACGGACGCGCCGCCTTTTTCCTTTGTTTTCGGTCAGGAGGGAATTTCATCTCCCTCCAGCTTTTCCCTTCCAAGGACATTTGTCATTGAGCATCCTACAAAAGTTCCAGGACAAAGCAAGACAAAAAACTGTGTTGGAATAAGTGTGTGTGTGTGTTTAAATAAAACACTTAAATGTTCCTTTCTGACTTTGTGACTCCCTTTGGCTTCATAAGAGTCGAAGGCCTCCTCATCGGCTGAAAGGGGGAACGTGTGGGAGGCGCTCACTCCAAACCAGACAGGAGACTCAGTGAACAAAGGCGCTGACAAGGTAGCGACTCCCCGGCAACAACAACAACAACAACAACAACAACCCCCCTCGCAAACAAACAAAACACACGCAGAGAGAGAGACAGCGGCGACGCGCCTGCACATTAAACAAACAAAATAAACGGCTCCTTTCTGCTCGGCGCGGCCGTGAAAGGGAGACGTTGCAGCGGTGTGGGTGGACCGGGGATCTACCGCTGGGTTTCTCTCGCATCATTACCCCCCCCCCACGCCCCCCCACGCCCCCCCCCGCCCTCCGTTTCCCTTTTGTTTTGTTTTGTTGTTGGCGCCTCTCACTCTTCAACAAAGGAGGCTCACACTCCAGCAGACATTAGCACACAGGATAATGTGCGTGGTTCCTGCCTTTAAACGCAGCGAGGGGCGGCTCGACAACAACGCACACTACGCGACACACGAAAGGAGGTCTAGGGAGGGGGGGGAGGGTGGGGGTGAGGAGGAGGAGACGTGGAGGCGGGGGAGAGGAAAGGATCTTATTTTGAGCCTCGGATGAAACGAACGCGCTGTTCTCCGTCACTGCCACAGCGAGGTGAATCATCTCCAGAAGCTGAGTATCACCACAACGTGTCTCTCTATTCAGCTGGTGTCCAGATGGCTGCTGGGACCCGGCAGCAGGTGCCCCCCCCCCCACCCCCCCCCCCCCCCTTACCTCCTCTCCCTCCCCGTGCATGAATCTGCACTTAGTTACCTGTTTCATGCCATTACATTTATATGTACACACACACATATATAATCTCGCCTGCTGCCATAGCGACCGAGAGGGAGGAAGGCGGGCGGCTCTTCATCTCGCTGGAGTGATTGTGATCAACGTATTGATTGCAGCGATCAGCACAACATGAGCGGCGCTTTGGAACGACGTACTTTATCGGCGCCATGTCGTCGAGTTAATAATCTGTTTTTGGGGACGAATTCTGTGTTTCCCTCGATAATAAATCCCAAGGAAGGAGCGGAAGCAGCGCCCGACGCGCCGTGTGACTCTGCGCCTGCATTGTTGTCCAAAAACCTATTTAAAAACACACGAAGAGTCACGTCGGTGCACTTGATGACGCTGAACGTGGGGTGTAGTAGACGCCGTATGCCTTTTTTCATATATTCATTGACGGAGGCAGAAACACGGCTCTGCCTCTGCCTCCTTTTAACGACGCTGCAGTTTTTATTGTGTAGAAACACGAAAAAGAATCACATGAAACGGAAGACAAGGATCCTCATCGACCTGTTGCCACAATACGTGTAAGTACACAAGTACGTTCACTCATCTTTTCCTGCGATATCCAACGCGTGAAACATCACAGCGCATCGAGTAGTTCACACTTGAGATAAGAGACACAATCGGTGGTGGGAGAAGATAACGTGAACCAGCTGAATCTAATCCAGAATCAATAAACACGACAAAAGGTCTCTATCGGACCTTCGTCCAACTCTCATCTGCATCTCAGAGCTGTTTGTCACGAACGGCCAGTTTCCATTCATCGTTAAGCATCTTCCCATCACTCTCTGTGCCGAGCTGAATAATGAATAATGACCCTGAACACATCACATGGGCCCAAAATCTCACACACATGAAGCAGCTTTACAGTGCAGGAGCCCAGAGGTGCATAAAACCAGAGGGGGGGTATTGACTCGTTCGTTAGATGTAATCTGATCATTTAGTCGCTGTTTAAACGGACGCTGTGGATTAGGGCGGACGCAGCAGCTTGGGAGTAAATACCAGGTGAAATGAATTCTTTAAAACCTGTTTGCTCTCTTAGAATAAGATGAGACGACTCCACAGAAAGCTTTTAGTGACGCGGTTAAATATCTTGGTGAAATATGCAGATTTCCTCTCTGTCCTGGTGCGTGCGGTGTAACGACTGGAAGACGGGGAAACCAGCTCCGTCCGAGGATTAAAGGTAAATTATCCACATTACATCCATGTCGATGCACAGTGTTCATGACAATTTCACAAATAAATACTGAACGTGATAATTAGCTAATGATTTCTTGGATTACGGCGAGACGGGGTTGGAAGGTCACTGCGACCTCACGAACACCAGCGATGTAATCAGTTCATCCTCGAGTACCAGCACCTCTCCAATTAATTAGCAACGCGTTGGTTTCAAACCAATCATAAAACGCTGGCTGTTCCTCCAGAGGTTTTGTGCCAAACTGCGTCCCCTCGTAGCGCCCGGCAACGTCTCCTCAAACGCTCCGCCACACAAAAACAACTCAACCTGTTTCCACGCATGAGATTAACACGCGTTCGTTTGTGAGCCACGCTAAGTGATCCCTCCGTTTTCCATTCACTGTGCTAAGCTAAGCTAACCAGCGGCAACTTTAGCGTTTAGCTCACAGATTCTCAGCATGAAAACCATTAAGTTGCACATCCCTTTTCCTGAGGAGGGTCAGTTGGTCGGTGTGAACTAACATGTGAACCGGATAGTTTTACCCACAGACTGGAGATACCAAGTGGCCGTAGTCATGGTAACGTCACGCATTGGTTTGTGGACTGTGGCTTTGAAGCCTCCAGTTCTAAATCTGTATTCCTGTTACCATCTGGTTTTTTTGCAGCCAGGGAATGGAAGAAGTGACCTGTCAATCACGAGGCAACCCCCCCCCCCTTAAAGCATCCCCTGCTTTATAGTCTGTTTGACTCTAAATGGACCATAATGCACTAAATGAACATGAAGACTGAGACCATAAACTCCTGTTTACAATGTTTACTGAGGGAATAAATCCACAGAGTCATTTTCTCGTACACGTCTACGGGAGGCGAGGAAAGGTTTCACTTCGCTCGCCCACGCGTCCCGCGCGCCGCGTCACTCACCGTTGAAGCTGGCGTTTCGGATGTACTTCAGCAGAGTCTTCCCCTCGGCCGTCTCCATCTGTGGACAGACGCCGGGGTGATCGGGACACAGGTCCCTCTGCATGCTGTGGAGGGCGTGGGCCACGGCGTACACCGCGTCGATCACAAACTGCACCTTCCCTTCCTGCTCGTACTTGGACTCGGTCCCGATGCGCTCCTTGCCTGGGGGGGAGGGGGGGGGGAGGATGGGGGGGGGAGAGGCCGTTAGACATCGCCTCCTCTCAGCACTCGCTATCTCCCCCTGCTCCGTTTGTCACTCGCTGCCTCCGACTTCAATTGTGATTTTGTAAGAATTACACTTAAAGGGACAACGTGGCGGCGCAATATGAGAAGACACATTTAATTCCCAAGTGGAAAAATATCAAGCGGAGCTGAGAGACAAAGTATTTGCTGACAAATACGCTCGGATTGAATTACCGCGTCGGATTACTGAGTGACGGGCTGCCGGGAGCGGGGGGGGGGGGGCCTCGCTTTGCTCACATGCGCTTCTCCGGTGGCTTCCTGCTCTTTTATGTCCTCGTCGCGGCGCGCTGCCCTTTCACTGCGCGATGCTGCGACTCCGCTGGAATACGTAATGTCGAAAGCTCAGCTGGTTTCTTGTTTTTCGAAAAGAAAAAAAAAAAATGAACAAGCTTCTCTATTCTCCCGGTGGATGAAAGCAGCAGTTCAAATTACAACCACGAAAATACTAGTATCACTTTTAATGACACTAATCATCGTAATCATCATCCTTATCATCATCATTTCAACATGCAAGCTCCCAGTTAATAGAAAAAGCTGCGCGGAGGGAATTGTGCTCGGCGATAGCTGCTCTCGTCTCACATGGGGAGCTCATCGGAGGACCAGCCGGTGCTAAGAGGACACACAGGAGAACGTGGGACACAAACTGAGTAAGGTCATCAGCAGTCTGCGCTGACATTTCTCAGAACCTCACATGCGTCTCAGCCCACGCAGAACCTCCCCGCCTTCCAGAGCCCGGCACAGGAGGCCCAAACGGGCGACCGCGGACCGCAAACTTCTCCCTGAGCTGGTGAATCTGTTGGGAGGAAGAGAATACGCAGACGGGGGAAGACGGGGGGGGGGGGGGCAGTTCACCGAGGGGCCGCGGGGGGCGGACGCAAGACGGCCAACAGGAGATTACGAAGGAGAGCGCACAGCAATCTGTGTCACGCTGCCATCGCCCTCATCCCGTATGCAAGCGGGAAAACTGAATACGGCGTGCCGCATCGCCCCACCCGTCGCCGCGCGGGTAACGAATGCAGCGCGACGCTGTCACGCCGCTGACAGGCGGCGTTTAGGTAATACGGAGGGTGCAGCACCGCTAACAACGCCATCATTAAAGCGGAATGGAGGCAGGAGCAGTACTCACTTCGCCTTTCTGTCACTTTGCAATCGGCAACCTAAATAAAGTGCTCCCAGGTTAGTACACACGGCACGACGCGGCAGAGCTGTCAAGGTGACTGGGTAACAGGGGGGGGGAGGGTGGGTGTTAAGAGCTACAAGACATCTTGCAACTGAGCAACTGTAGTATGACTAAGACGCATGGTGAACGTGAAACATGAGGTTGAGTTCTCAGCGGGGGGGGGGATGGAGGGGGGCACGGGTTCGCCCGTTGGTACCTGTGCATTTACGGCTGGTGTCCTCCCTCTTGGAGGCGCTGAGGAGCCTGCAGTCAAAGTTCTCCTCCCAGAACTCGGCGAACCACACGTTCCTGCGGTTGTTCTCCAGCGTGAGGCCGGTGAAGTATTCGTCGAACCCTGCGAGCGAAGAGGGAGAAAGGCCCGTTCAGACCGGACAGCGACCGGTAGCGAAACACCTGGGGCGGGGGGGCAGCGTGCACATCTGCAGCGTGCACATCTGCAGCGCGCACATCCGCGCGCTGGTTCAAAGCACACTCGGGCACAAGAAAAAAAAAGCACTACTTCATCAAAAATTGACCGCGGTGGTTCCTCTTCCTCTCGAGCCCCGTGGAACTTTAATCGCTCCTTTCATCTAGGAAATGACATTAATTACCAAACAGGATGCATAATAAATAACGCAGGCAGTGTAAGCGGCACGTTGCCGCGAGCTGCGAGGTCCTGCAGGTGCTTTTTCTTCCCTTCATTAAACCCATAACAATAGAAACAGATTGAAGGCACGCGGTTCTCGCGTAGCAATTATTTCAACAGGCGTTCGCCGCCCGTTCGCTTGAGGAGTGAGAACTTTAAAGGGAGAAAAAACAGCTTGTTTGCTGCATTTTGTCCTGTTGTTTGTGCAACTTTACAAACCAATGTGGGTCAGGGAGCCGAGCTGGGACCAAACTTAACCGCGGTGCAGCATTTCCTTCTTTTTTGAACCTTCTGCCGTACAGGTTCCTTGAGATTAATAAGAATTCCACATCTTAAAGCATCTCCGTGTGTCTGTTATCCAGTCACATCAGATGAGTGGGGGTAGAGGTGATAATGTCTCACCGCAGACGAATGACTCAGCTGATTTTGCTTTCATGAGACCATCAATGATGCATGTTGGATTAATAATATTCTGCCTTGCACAGTGTACATTTGTCCTGGATAGAGCTGCTCTAATTACAGGAAGCTTCACGCAACTCAGACTTTCACATTTAGCTCGATTGTAATGCTGAGCGGTTGTCTGGATTTGTGACAGAGGGCAAAATGAGCTGTGAATATTCTATTTCTTACATTTTACGGGCGACCTCCTCCTTTTTCTTGTGGGTGCAGCGGCACTTTTCAGAAAAACGCAGCACGAAGCACAAAAATACAGTCGATGATGGTATTTCTTTTGGACTTCATGACAGAAATTTATAGAAACGATTAAATTCAAATTAAAAACTTGATGCAAAGCCTTTTCTCTGACTCATCCGTCAGATTCCTCCACAGTCTCCTTTGTTAAAAACAAATATGTAAAACCATCATTTTTCTGAACCGACGGCAAAAATGGTGACAAAGTTTTCATTTATTGGTTTCAGTATGTAATAAAATCTAGAGAGCAGCCAATCTGTCAACACTGACATTAGGGGGGTCATGTACCCGCGGCCAAATACAACAAGGTCGCATTTGTTCTCTGAGGACTGTGGAAAGTCATTGTGAGAAATGTGGAAAAATCGCCAACTGAAGTAGAAACAGATGAGAAGGAGGGAGGGGGGCCTGGGGGGGACACACCAAATGGCCGTGTAATGTGAGAGTGGTCAGTCATGAACACACTGAGAATTACCACCCAAGTCTCTTCTAGCTCATTTTTACCGTTTATCGTTTTACAGCCTGAATATACACATGTAGTGTATCACATGCTGTGTATCACATGCCGTGTACCACATACTGTGTGTATGTTATATACTGTGTATCACATGCTGTGTATCACATGCTGTGTGTATATTATATACTGTGTATCACATGCTGTGTATCACATGCTGTGTATCACATGCCGTGTATCACATGCTGTGTGTATGTTATATACTGTGTATCACATGCTGTGTGTATATTATATACTGTGTATCACATGTTGTGTATCACATGTTGTGTATCACATGCTGTGTGTCACATGCTGTGTGTATGTTATATACTGTGTATCACATGCTGTGTATCACATACTGTGTATCACATGCTGTGTATCACATGCTGTGTGTATGTTATATACTGTGTATCACATGCTGTGTATCACATACTGTGTATCACATGCCGTGTATCACATGCTGTGTATCACATGCCGTGTATCACATGCCGTGTATCACATACTGTGTATCACATGCCGTGTATCACATGCCGTGTATCACATGTTGTGTATCACATGCTGTGTGTCACATGCTGTGTGTATGTTATATACTGTGTATCACATGCTGTGTATCACATGCTGTGTATCACATGCCGTGTATCACATGCTGTGTATCACATGCCGTGTATCACATGCTGTGTGTATGTTATATACTGTGTATCACATGCTGTGTATCACATGTTGTGTATCACATACTGTGTATCACATACTGTGTATCACATGCCGTGTATCACATGCTGTGTGTATGTTATATACTGTGTATCACATGCTGTGTATCACATGTTGTGTATCACATGCTGTGGTATCACATGCCCGTGTATCACATGCCGTGTATCACATGCCGTGTATCACATGTTGTGTGTATATTATATACTGTGTATCACATGCTGTGTATCACATGTTGTGTATCACATGCTGTGTATCACATGCTGTGTATCACATGTTGTGTATCACATCCCGTTTATCACATGCTGTGTATCATATACTGTAAATAAGAAGTAGATGTAGTAACCATGACGTCACCCATTGACCTGTTGACTAGCATTTAGTTTTGGGTTGCTGGTCTCTTCTATTTTAGTTGGAACTTTTTCAGTGACATGAGGGTGGAGCTACGTACAGCCAAAGACATTTTTAGGCAAACCAGAAACAACAACAACTCCCAGACAGAAAAATCCATAGCAGAGGCGTATCAATCAAAGTAAGCCCCGCCCTAAAGCATCCGCTGCTTTATGGTCTGTTCGCGTCTAAATGGACCATCACTTACTAAATGAACATCATGCTGTATACAAGAAGACTTGAAACTCATATTTACAATGTTTACTGAGGGAATAAATCAAGAGAGAAGTAGAGCCATTTTCTCATAGACTTCTATGGGAGCAGCTTTAAGGCTCTTCAGAATTGGCTTCCCTTCTCCTACCTGGAGGGAGCCGCCTGCCTGCATCGTTACTGGTCCAGCTGTTACAGATGCTCCGGGCAGCTGTTCTTAATGAACGACTAACAATATCCAACCGGCCTCTTCAACACCAAGCAGCCGACGTGGTGAACAACGGGGCTTGGTGAACACGGCGGCGCAGCCAAAGCCGATTACCCTTATTTACAGATATCTTTGAGGACCATTTGGCAGGTGGTCAGAAGTCTAATTGAATGCTAACAGGCAGCTGTTTGCCTTCCCACTCCCCACATTGACTTCATAAGCCTACATTTATTTATCTAATTTACAATGACCACGTGTCTATTAGTGCCCCCCCCTCAGCGGTCAGATCCCGGTCTTTAGTGTAAGTATAGGAGCAGAAGGAGAGATTATTATTAGCGCTGAGCACGTTAGCGCTTCGTTATCACGTTAGCGCATCAATTCGAGCATCGAGTTATGAAGCACCTTATTTCTATTTGCAGTGAATTGCATGAGTTGAACTCAGCACTAATTCTTGTGTAGTACTGGAGGTGTTGTGCGTGCGTCTGTACCTTCGATGGAGGAGCGTTTGGGCAGTATAGTGACCGCTCCCACCGCCACATCCTCCAGCTGATGGATCGGGCTGCTCTTGGGCCCCCAGCTGTCGGATCCAATCCACAGGAAATGGCCCACCTGATTGGCCCTCTTGGTGGAATTCAGAACTCCCCTGCAAGGACGGCCGGGTGTGAATTAGGGAGTTTCTCTGGGAGGGGGTGGTGGGGGGGGGGCGGCATGCAATCGAATATCTATTACACAAAGGCACCGGCAGCTTTAAGGAGTCGCTGGGAGTCACCGAGCCACAACCATTAATCTCCCGCTCGGCGGTTCTTTCCACATGAGCGTGCGTTTCCAAGGCGCGAGCTGAATGTTTGATTCCGTGCTTCTGGAACGCGAACGCTTTTCCGCGAGCGCTACAACTCCCCCTTCCGCCGCTCCGCGTGATCTGAGGTTTCGCGTTGGCGTCGTTGAAGGCCCGGGGCCCGCGCCCGCGTGGCCGGCCCCGAGTCCTCCGCCTCCGGAAAAAACCCGTCTGCGGGAGCTGCTGCTCGCCAACGCTTCTCACCGTATGTCTTCCTCGCTGGCGAAGATGACGACGGCCCGCGCGTGCTGCGTCTCCAGCAGTTGTTGGACGGCTTTGTCGTAATCCTCCAGCTTGGGGTTGTGGGGGATTTTCAGAGACTGGGCGATGCAGATTCCACCTTTTAAAAAAAAAAACAAGAGGCAGAGAGGGGTAAGAAAGCGTGAGGCTTCTCTCGCGAAGATCTCGCCGAGTCCCTGACTCTCACACACGGATGTACAAACACACACGGACAAAAGCCGGGGGTGACCCAAATCTCACCCATATGGAAATGGGGAGAAGCATCTGAACACAATAGAGGGATTTCGACGATGTCGTCCCGCTCGCTGGTGGAGTCTCGCTGATGACTCCCGCAGTGGGAGTATTTACATTTAGCCGCTGATGGGAGAAACACAAAGTGTCGCTCCGCAGAGTCACAAACACATCTTGCTGGAAACAAAACCCAATAATCCACACCGACGGGGACATAAAGCTACAGATTTCATATGATAGATGATCAAGCGGCTCTGGTTGAAGAGCCTGAGCCAATCGGATAGCACGGCCAGCACCAGCAAGAGGATATTACCAGAGACAACCAATCCCGCTCCGCCGGGTCACCGCCAATGGCTCCGTGCGGGATGAAGGGTGCCGATGGCTTCGGCGTCTCGATCGCGGTCAACTTTGTCTGCTGGATATTGTTTATTTGTCAAAGACAATATGACGAGTGGAGTTTTGCTGAGCTCTTGTGAGGTGATTACGGGTGCGGAGGACAAGATGACCTTTGAGGCCCTTTGAATAAACAGATGTGTTGGGGGGGGGCGCTGAGTCAACACCAAAGCTCCACCCAAACCAATTAAAATCTCCCCCACTCAGCCCACCCAATAACCTTTCAGTTTGAGTTTCCCCGAGTAGACGGAGGAATGGAAGGGATCTCCTAATTGCCGGTCTCCTCAGGCTCATTACTCTGTTATAAACAGCTCTCAGCTGTTAGATCAAACATCTCCAGTCACGGTAGCTTTTCAAAAGGCAGAAGACGGGAAAATGGGAAACGCTGAACCTCCTCCAGACTATCTGGGGCTGTTGTTTTTCTTCTCTTTTCCTCCAAGTATCAGCAGACGGAACGGGGGGGGACATTTAGTAGGAGCAAAAAGGACCTGCGGGGTGGCTGCTGTTATCCTCACTAAGTGGACTAAGCGCAAACATGGAGATCCGACAAGCGGCCGAGCTGCTGCTCAAGGGCTCGTGGCACCCTGTTGGGGGAGTGCAGCGCGCTCGGCCTCATCCGTCCCAGAGAGGAGGTTCCGGTGGATTCCAGCCTGAACGCCTTCAGGGTCTTCTGGGTTTCTGTTTGAGGGAACTTCAGCGCCGTCAGACATTTGATTCTAGCGTATTGGTGGCACCGGGGGGAGGATGGGGGGGGGGGGTCATGTCTGCAGGTGGGTGTCTCGCTTTCATTAAATCCAGAGAAAAGAGAAAAACTCTCTGAACTTGAGTCTCAAATATTCATTACCAATAATAAAAAGGGGAAAACCCGCGTTGCGTGAAGGGTTCGAATGGGATAAGAGCCGTATGACAGGAGAAAACAACCAGACCGCAGGACAGAAGAAGCATGCGAACGGACCCCCCACAAAAGCACCGTATCCTCACTCCCAGAGCGCTGCGGGAGGGAACGCCCCCCCCCTCTCCGTCACCGGAGGGCCGTGGTTGGACTTGAGAAGAGTGATCGACTCAAAGAGAAGGTTCAGAGGAGCCGAGTGACGGGCGAGACGCTTCAGTTCAGGCTGTGTGGAAAAAAAAAAAGAGGCTTTTTCTCCGACTTCAGTCAAGAGAGGATTTCACAAGGAAGGAGCGTTAGAAAAATGTTCCAATTAAAAGAAAAGGAAAAATGAATTTATCACTGCTGTCTTTTTATTACTGGAGCTTCGGATCGGTTCATGAATCCTCGTGAATGAGTCAGAAGGGCGTTTATGTGCCGTCGTCCTGGCTGAGAGTCTCGTCCACTCTTCCTCCTGTGTGAAATGACTCCTCTCCCTCGCCTCTCCGACTCGGTGCTCCGTCCTCCCTCGTCCCGCCGCACTGCGCCTCCTCCCTGCACGGCCCAGAGAAACCCCGGGAACGTTCTCCCGCCATTAGCTCCAATGAGCCCGACCAGCTATAAACTCTTTTTTGGGCTTTTCTTGCGAGCAGCCAGATAAGAAACGTAGGAGCGCTGCAGCCGGCGAGTGACGCACTTTATCAAACTGACCCCTGACCCTAAAACATCCAAGCTAGGTGCAGGGTGAGCCCTCTGCTCCACTCTCCATCCACGTGTCAAATGATGATGAAATGATGGCGACGGCTCCATTCGTCAGGCCCGTGGAAGTTCCCCGCTTATCTCTTTAGAGCCGTAGGTCACGCGCCGCATTAACCGCCTCAATTATTCATCCTCTGCGCCCCTCCGCTCCCGGGCCGCACGCCGGGGCCACCGATCCAGCTCTGCCATTTTGCCTGGTGAAATACAAATCCTTTTAAATTAGAGGCCCTTGATGGATTCGACCCCCCCACCTCCCACCTCCCTCGCCCGCCCGCCGAACACCCGCCAGGCCCAGAACTCCGGGGGGGAGGGGGAGGAGGGGGGTCCATAATTATACTTATCACATGGTTTTGACATTCATTTTCCACATCTGTGTACCCCCCCCACTCCGCCCTCGCCTCGGCGATGTCCAAAGGTCACGCAGAAGAACTGTGTTCTATTTGACGCCGCTTCCTCCTCGGTCCCACTGCTAAATAATAGTACCCCCGCCCCCCCCGCACAGCTCACACTAGATCTAAGAAGGTAACTTAGCTGTAATCAATTCCACGGCGATGATTTCTAAGAGGTTTTCACCCTTCAAAAGCAAAAAGCTGGACTCCATCGCTGCCTCCAGACGGACAAAGAGGCGAAATAAATGAAACCCGATTGATCTGAAGCCCCCGCCCGCACGATGCTGCACGATGGGAACCAGAGAAAGTGTAGCGAGACGCGAGAGGGAAAAAAAGACAAGCCAGGAGAGATCGATAGCGGCCGGCCATCACTTCAACACCGGGCCTCGGCTCGGGTAATGGGGGGGGGGGCCGTATTGCATTAGCCCGCTGCACTGCTCTCGCCTGCAAGTTGGGAAGCGAGAATCCGACTAATGCGTCTGACATTTCACTGCGAGTCTCAAGGCCTCACGGATCAGCTACAACATCCGGCCAGAGATGCTGCTCTTGTTGTTCTGACGGTTTCTTTGTGTATTCTTTTGCGTTTTATTCAATCCAATCCAGTCAGTTCTGGTGCAGGACCAGGGGCTGCTCGGATGGGTTTCCTGGGAATGTACAGTGATGCCATTACATAATTAATGTGTTTATTAAAGATAAGACGCCTCGGGTACTGGAGGCTTTTTCTTTAGAGGAAATAATTCCTGTTTGCGTGTGAATTTAAAATACCGCATAGTGAACTGCAGCTCGGCAGTAATAGGATGAGTCAACAGCAACAATGGCGTATAATTCATACTCGTCGTGTGGCAGTTCAACGATCATTACAGCGATGGCTTTGCTGCTCTTTGCATGAGAAACCCCCCCCCAGAAACATCAGTGGGAAACGGATGCGAGAGAACGCAGCCAGAGGAAACTGTGTTTATCCAAAGATGAGTGGAAACTTCCCAGATGTGTTTTCTACGCGAGATACTTTCTCCCTCTCTGTCGATGCAAATCACAAAACCACAAACAGCTTCCTGGAGCTTTAATGATCACACTGGACGCGCTGCACGCGGATGAAATATTCATGCTCGCTGGACGTCTGATCGGAGCCTGTGGGATGTCATCAGATATCATCAGATATCATCGGATATCATCAGATATCATCAGATATCATTAGATATCCCACGGGGCCCACAGAGGCCTTTCCTGCGCGCCATCAGACACCGATCCGGATCGGGATCCGCACAAGGTCGAGGTGAGAAGCCGCAAAGCGCCGGGCTCCCGTCGCCGTGGGCAACAGTCAAGGAATTCCGTGTCGTGAATCCGTGTCATTCCCCGTCCTCGTCTCGCAGGGGACGCCGCAGATTGTCAACCACATGATTTGACACGGACAGCCGGGCGGGGCCGCACCGACCGGGCGCCTCCCGCTGATTCACATGTACCGCCACATGCCGACCGCAGCATCGGGGGCGGAGGAGAAAGAAATGAAGCAGGTGAGTGGAGCATTTCAATTTGGAGCCTGCTTACAAAGCAGCAGCAGCAGCAGCTCCTCTGAATGCAAAGAGTTTCGCCCTTATTATCACCTCGTAAAAGCCCAAATTCAAAGCATTTCGCAGCCCAACCTGAGAGAGGATTGTGCGCCACTCTAAACAATCATCATCAGCGTTACATTAGCGCATCTAGCTAACGAGACTGATCCTAACGGCCTGATTCGAGCCCATTAGGCGGTTCAGCGCTCTCTGTTTAATCTCACGGTTTAGGGACAGAAGGCTTCTTCTCTAAAACTAAAAGTAATAAACATTGAGAAATAAGAGGCCGACTGGCCGCAGTGAGGTGTTGGTCTACGAGGCGTTTCTCCGGCTGCATTTCCAGTAACTCTCCACAATCCGCTGGGGAGCTGAAGCACGGTTTGCCACAGCGATCAATAATTCATCCGCTCATACCACGTTCTGCAAAAAAAAAGTGCAAAGTGTTTTTGCTCTAGCGAAGCGGTTTACGGTTAAATCCCTGGAATAAAGAAAAAACGGTTTTAATTCTGCTCACCGGTCAACTTTCCCTCACCTGCTTCTTTGGAGAGCTGCGTGAAGGCCTCCACCCCCTTCTCCCCGTAGCTGCCCTCCGAGGCCACGGTGGAGACGTAGGTCCAGCCCAGGGCCCGGATGATGTCCACCATGGCCTGGGCCTGGAACGAGTCCGGAGGCACCACCCGCGAGAAGAAGTCGTAGCGCCGGTCGTCGCTCAGCTCCGGGGCCGTCGAGGCGTAGCTGACCTGCGGGATCTGGGAGGGGGGCGGTGGGGGGGACGGGGGGGGGGAGAACAGAACGTTCACTGGCATTCTGGTGCAGCGTTGCCTTAAAGTTTTGAAATCACTCCCCGTTTTACTCCGTTCCGTTTTACTCTTTTCCGTCGGCGTGCTAAACGAGGGGGAAACCGCCCGGCGCTCTGCGTGGACTTTGTGTCGCACAAAGTCGTTTTCTTCTCACTTTTGTCTGCGGGCAAACAGACAAATCTCTCAAAGCTTCGGCGCCGGTCGGCTGCACAGCCGACAGGGTAAAGAAGCCAGAACTGGGTTTTTATACGCGACCGAAACAAAGTGAGCCTCAAGAAAACATAGAATGGGGCTCAGCTGGAAGAAAGGGGGGAAAAATAAGTCAGTTTTAGACAAACCATATTTCTGTAACTCAGACTGAAGCGTTTCTTTGGGGCAGCGGCTGGTGGAATGTGGGTAAATCCGATGTGTTTACATGATGGTATAATTGGAATCTTTGCTCTCCTTCGGGGGGAGGTGCTATTATCCCGATATTCATGGCAGTGAATGAATCGAATCATTGGCCGAAAGCATATCGTCACATCCGATACGATAGGTGGCGCTGTTTTCATTACAACTAGTTGTGATGCAGCCATTTCCGCTTCACCACTACCAACAACAACAACAACAACATCAGGAGAAAGATGGCGAGCGGAGAGCGAGGTGAAGCTACGTCCCTCTACTGTCTGTGCGTGATGCTAACAGGAGCACAGCGAATGCCAATGACGCTATCGGCTGATTTGATAACGGAGAGAAGACGCCGTCGGGATCTCGAGCAGGCGCAAAGACGCAAAGTCCAGTTCCTCATCCGATTCACCGTCACGTGCCGCGATAGTCGAACTACCAACCGGATCGGATGGAGTTATCCAGGCGTGTTAGTCGGACCGTAGTCGGACAAAAGGTGTTTACATGAAACGGATCATTGGATTTCAGTCCGACTGAGCCAGTTATTTGAATCCATGTAACCACGCTGAGTGTCTCAGATATCTGCAGCAGCTCGCTGACACAGGGAGATGGTCACGGATATTTTGAGCGGAAAGGAGATTGACATGTTGGGAAATACGCTCATTCGCTTTGTTTGCAGAGACGGGAAGATCAATAAAACTTATTTAGTACGATAAATACTAAACTAGTCAAAGCAGCTGGTTTGCTTTAATTGGCTAAAAAGATGCATCTCTGTCCCAAATGAAGCTGACTGGTCGATGGCTATGATCTAATATTGAACATAAAGAAATTAATCTCCCCATCTGAAGCAAATAACTATTTCATAAAATAACAAACCAGTCCTTTAATGGCAACACAAACTGGTTTCCTCCCACTGTGGTAACAGGCCGCCACGTTGCATCAGGCCCGGGAAGTCTAAGCTGTCATTTACACAAACAACGACACGAATAAGATGCCGTTAAAATGTTCTCTCGTAGATATTATGTGACATGTGGGTTTGCCTTCACATGGATGTCCCACATAAATAAAGATATTTGTCCCATTAATTATTAAACCCTGTCTGACTGAAAACCCGCTTCCCTCAGATGATACTCTGCTAAACAAACGAGCGATGCATTTTTCATATATTTCAGATTACGCCTCAACCGAGTGTGCTCACATTACGTAACGCTACATTGTACGGAGCCTACATTGGCTCCGTTACCTGGGCAACGTGCTGTGCTGTCACTTTCTGCTCCCAACATATCAATGAAGACCAGCAGCACGGCCGTGAACACACGGCCTCCTGGTGAGAACTGCGTCTGTCTGCACCAACCAGCAGCACGTGCAGATAATAAACCTGGTCCCGCATTGTAAAAAGTTAGATCTTCATCTCTTTTTGACCATAAAGCGGGTCGAAGTGCAATATAAATAATGTGAAAGCACTAAAATGCTCCATCGGTGGACTAGCGTTTAGAAACTGTGCCTTTAAATGTGGAATCAATCTGTCTTTTAAGTAGACAGTCATATAAATGATTCATAAAACGACATATATATTACCATTAATGACATGCCAAATAATAATAAATCATTTTTGCCCCCAAAAAACATGATTGAATTACTCATTTTGACCAAAATAAATGCTTTGTTAATCTCAATATATGGAATCAAGTTAATATCATGTTTACAAAACCTTACATGAATCTAAAACACCGAAATACAAAGCAAACTAAATCCATAGCTCACATGCAGCGACATGTTGCTGAATGACTTCAGATTCATCGCTGCAGGATGCAGGAAACGTGCTGAACACGAGGTGAACGAAACCACCGCATCCGAACTCCGTGTTTGTACTTCTTGAGCCCACGAGGTACCGTGAGCCGTCCTACCAGCAGAGGGGCAAACTCCTGCTCCCAAACCCGGAATACAAAGGTGAAACGTGGGAATGAGCACGAAGGAAACCAGCTTCCGACTGCATCTTTTCCTCCGCTTTCAAGTCTTCGATCAAAGACAAAGTGTTACAGCGCTCCGCGCTTTGATCCATTACGAGGAGAGCTGTGCCGCTTCCCTCCGCCGAGGAAGACAGTGAGATGTGGTTGAAAGCCGCTGTTTTCATCAAATCTGTCCAGAGCTGTTTGTTTCGCGGAGAAAGGGAAGCGACCGACAGTTCATTTCTTCTTTTTTTTTAATCAAACTACTGGATCCAAAGTCAAGAAGGAGCATTCAAGCAACTAATATCTGCATGCTGCATCATTTCTTAAATGAAGCAGACTTAATGATCCCTATCAAGGTAAAAGTGAGACGCACCATCAACCCAAACCAGCATTCAAACTGACCGAATCAATGGAGTTCTTAAGAGGCCAAGCAGTCACTTTCTACTAGTTTTTACTTTTAAGACAAAAACACATATAACTTACCGTGGTAGCAACCTGTCAATCAGCATGTAGCCCCGCCCTAAAACATCCCATGCTTTGTGGCCTGTTTGACCCTAAATGGACCTCATGCTGTATTGAAGACTTGTTTACTGGGCGGGGAAATCAAAAGAGAAGCAGTCATTTTCCCATTGACGTCCATAGGACCAGAGGAGTCGCCCCCTGGTGGTCGCTACAGAGAATGCATCAAAACCCAGGAGCTAGATGAAGAGTCCTGGTAGGAGGTTGTTCACGATGCTGCCTGCTCGAGACCTAAACACCTCGCCGACAGCTGTGTGCAGAGTTTAGAAACTGCAATCCCCCGTCTCGGATCACACCGCCGACCTCCCGTTAGCCGGGGCGGACGCACAGGCAGAGACGTGCTTCATGCCGATGTTCCAGCCAGCGCCGAGCCTCTTCACACGGCCTAATTTGAGCGCCGCATGAATGCCATCCATTGATCAAAAAGCAGCCGGACGCTGGGGAAACACGGGAATGAGGACACAGCGCCGCGCTGATGGGGTTGCTCCGTCTCACGCAGTGAGAGTTATAGCTGTGACCCACAACCTGAAAGGGGTCATCCGCACAAAGCTGACAAATTGAGGAGGGTTTAAAACGACTCAATATGTCGGCCAGAGGAAGCCCCCCGCGCCGCCGCCGCCGCCTAACCACAAACCCAGCGAATACAAAATCAGCGATGCAAATTCACAGGCGGGACGGCGCTGCGGTTGCCACGCGTTAAATCACTTCACGGCCGCCCAAATCGAGTGCGGTGGGTCAAAGAGGGGGCGCGGCGGCGTAATGGAAAAGCAACAGCGGGCTGCGATTTGCATTTAAAAAGACTCCTCTTCCCACGAGGCGAAGCGGCCACTGGAAGCGTTTGACGGGCGACGTGTTTCCAACATGGCTGCTGCTGGAATGCGGCGCAGCCAGAAGGTGTTGTTGGTTGGTTGAACCCCCAGCCGGCAACGTTGGGTCTCTCTGGAGCCTTTTTCTTCCGTTCTTTTTGCCGCAGAGAACCATTTAAGAAGGAGACGTCCGTCCTCCTCCATTGTCCCACACTCAACTCCTTATTACACGGGAGGCAACAGAAGGGCTGAGCGGATTGATTAAATGTCGAGGTGTGAGGACCGAACCCGCATAACTCACACGCTGAATCTACTAGCTCGGTATTTTCGTCTCTGGCCTACAAATAAAGTGGAATCCAAGTTAGTCATTTGTCTTCGTTGCGACTAATTGCGATGGACTCGAATTTCTTCATCATGCCGAGATAACGAGGCACGGAAAATGGATATTTAATCAACATTTTAGAGTCAATAATTAGCTTTATTTTCTCCCAATCCTTCATCTGCAAACGAACTTGACTCTTTCCCCTTTGCGTTTCACCCGACGACACTGAGAGATGACGTAACCCACGGCGACGTGTTCTTTGCCCCCCCCCCCCCTGGCAACCAGGTGAACTGAGGGGAGAACGACCCCCGCGGGCAGCTCCCGGCCGCAGGGAGAGAGGAAGATTAACGATGCCCCCTTTCCACGATCACAATTACCCAAAATTGATGCCTGGCACCTGTCATCGGCTGTGCACATCAAGAAGGGGGCGGGGGGCCCGGGGGGGGGGGGGGGTAGCTGACGGTAATCGCCCTGCTTGCTCTTGGATGCATCTGGGCCGACAGGATCGATGAAAGGAAAACACAGAGGTCTGTTATGGGGGGGACACTCTTTTATCGATTTACCACTGCGGCCGCCCCGAAGAAAAAGAAGTCGAAAGAAAAAATGGAGAAGAAAGCGGGGGGGGCGGCGTGTCGGGCGAGGGGGGGGTAGAAGGGGAGGGGATGGAATACGAATCTCAACGGCGGGTGTTGAAGAGGAGAGGCGACTAAGCGAGGTTGCGTCGGGGTCGAGACTCGTGGCGATA